GCTACTACTCATCCTAGGCACAGCGTTATCACAAGAACGTAAGTCATGGTTTATATATATTTCTATTTTTTTCATTTGAGTAAGTTGGTTAACTCTATTAACTAGGCTAGAGAGTGCAATAACTCTCTCATATATATTCTTATATAAGTGTCCTTGTGTCGTTAATAGATGAATAAATTTGCATAGTCTTTTCTTCATATGTCCCCTGTGTTTATCCTTGTAGCATGCACACCGATAGATTCTGGCGGAATCTCAACGCTAACAGTGTCAATTTTGGAGGCAACAGAAACAGGTACGTTTTTCAGTTAACGAATGAATATTGTTTATTTTTTGAAAGTTTGCAAACCTTTCAATGGTTCATGGTTATAGATAATAAACACGCCATATTTTAGTATCTTGCTATATGTTTCTACATGTACAGTAAACTACGGTTATAACGAACTAATTTTAGTTCGTTATAACCGTAGTTCGTTATAAGCATATATACAGCATAACTACAGCAAATAGTCGCTACTAAAAAGCAAGTTGGTTATATCCGTCAGTTCGTTATAAGCGTGTGCGTTATAACCGTAGTTAACTGTACCATTATTAATTGAGACTCTGTTTCCAGATCTGCAAGCAAACCCCGACTATCACGTGGCCCGGATACGGATATTCGGCACTGTGGGAACTACAGCGTCCCTGACGTTATTACAGAGCACGGCTAGAATCAACCCAAATGATTATTTCCGTATTGAAGATTTCCAAAGCGGCATATATATTCGATTATTTCGGGCACTCGACAGAGATGTACGTATTCCTTGGTTACGTGTGTGAATCCAAACATGTTAAATAAAATCATAAACGGATACATTATGTTAACGATTTCCTGACGTTTTTTTTTAATCTCTGTCGTGATATCACACGCGAATATCAGGATTTACAAATGTGTGTTTCAGGGCGCTTCCCCATTAAGCTTTGACGATCAAAGTGTGTTTGAATTCACAATGGAATGCAACTCTCTGATCTCATCAACTACCCGGTTCTACCCACTACGAGTTGCAATCGAGGACACCAACGACAACGCCCCCATCTTCGTCGGCGCCCCTTATACTATAGCAGTCAGCGAGGTAACATAAACTGAGATTAAAAATCATGAATAATATTTACTCTTTGGAAAAAGTAAAAATGCTCATTACAAATCAAGTAACGGCATCTCAAGAACACATTTTAAAATATGTTAAACATAGTCTCTCCCTGGTTTGTGCTAACTTTACTCCTTCTCTTCTCAGCTTGCCCCAATTGGAACAACGGTCTTCCAAGGACTTTCTGCTACCGACCTCGATTTTGGAGGAAATAAACACATTGACTTTAGCATAATGCCTGGATCAGGTGATCAGGTGAGACAAACGTACCATAAGGTACAACTGTTATATGTTTCACTGCTATAATAAACTAATGTTCATCTCTCATATCCTCTAAATCAACCACTACTACTCTCTGACACAGGTACTGAACCTGTTCTTTATTATTCTGGAATTCTAAGTATTCATGTTCATAACATTTTTTTTTCAGACTGATGGCAGCGCAGTATTCCAGATTCTCCGTCCCAGTGAAGGCTTTGTGACGGTGTCAGGAGATCTTGACTTTGAAGAACTGAACGCTATCAACCATGCATACTTCGTTCTTAACATTTCCGCCTCGGTAAGGTTCAAAACAGTTAAAACTAAAATACAATATGGAGCATGTGATGTATTTCCTTTAGTTCTCATATTGAACTATCTCCGTATCTATAACACGAAAAGCTGGACTACGATCATGGGTTTATTCTTCATCATGGCGTCAGTACATCGGTCTGCGCTGACGTCACCAGGTACGTCATAGCGCGAGCAAGCTGGTACTATTTACTATAGCACTAATCTCAATGACAATACACTACACTACATAAACCATTTTCCGTTTGAACTTAAAGTTTGGTACCTTATATGCATGTATTTCTTTTGCTTACAGGACCGAGCGTACCCAGAAATCAGCCGCAAAAGGTCATTTACAACTCTGAGGATCGACATCAGAGACGGAGATGATTTGGGCCCCGTGTTTGAATACTCATCCTGTACTCGTTACGACGGGGTCTGTTACAACCCACGCTACACCACCAAGATCACCTCAAATGATCTGGTCAGTAGTTTATACATTTATTTCCGAGATAAAAATGTTTAACTGTCTGAATACTGTCTGAATACATTTTATGTTTAACATTTATGTTTCAGACTGGTCAGCTGACGTTCTTCCCATCCCCCGCGATCACGCCAGTACAACAGACCGTTATCATCCAAGCCAGAGACCAGGATACCCTGAACTCTCCAATCAAATTCTTCATCCAAGAGAGTAAGTAATCTAATCCACAGCTTATCTTAAATGAAAAAAAGAAAAACTTCCAAGAAATTATTTTCTGAATAATCAATAAGGAGACGTGTTCATCAAGACAATCAAACTTCATGACTATCAAAGTGAAAGAAAGCGAGATATTTGTTATTGATTTTAATATTTCTGCAACCTTTTGCAGCAATCCCGTCAGGACACATGAGCAAGTTTGCCGCCAACACCCAAAACCCCGCTCCAGGGTCTAACACGTACACAGCCGTTATTAACCAGATACAGAGCATCAGCAGACTCTCAACACAGACGCTCACCATTGTTCTCAGGGTACGTATATGTATGGTGATAGACAAAAAGGGAGTGAGTGAGTTGGGTTTAACGCCGCTTTTGACAGTATTCCAGTTATATCGCGGCGTGTCAGCTTAATGTGGTAGGAAAGCCCGAAGCGATGCAGGTCTCAGACGTTTACCACTTCGGTGAAACCCACGAGCACGGGTATGGTGCTGACAAACCTAGAAACATAATCGGGGCGAACCGGGATTCGAACCCACAATCATAGGATTCTGGCGTGCCCAAGGGATGCAACTCTGCACAGCGAATCTCAGCGCCTTAGACGACTGGGCCACCCGTGCCCCCTGATAGACAAAGAACACAGCTGAACGACCAATGAAGAACTGGTCGGTGTTTCAGAGCCCAAATATACCATATTTCCATCATAACTATCTTTCTGAATTATTGTAATCCCAGGCAAAAATAATGATCATCACAATATTTGTCTTCATAGGCCGAAGAGCAATCAGACCGGAGGCGTTACGAACGGGCCCAGATTGTCTTGTCCATCAACTCTGCTAATCTGTTTGCCCCATCTGTGACTTCATCAACCGGAAGCTTGACTGGCTACATCTCTGAGAACTCCCCCGTGGGAACGCTGGTGACGGATGTGACTAACTCACAGCTGCTGAAGCTGCAAGTCACGGATAGCGATACGGTGAGTCCCACTTTTGTTTAAAGGTCAAACCAGATAGCCACTGCCTTGCCGTATCCAGTAGCAATATTTTACAAGTTCTTCCTTCAACTGATCTTGTTTTACCTCCAGCTTGCGTCTGACCCCAGCCAATCTTACACATTTACTGTAACGGGAACAAGCATCTTCAGCGTCAACAGCAACGGCTATATCAGCCTCAACACCAACAACCTGGACTTTGAAACAACACCCGTTGTCTCCTTCCCCGTGAGTAATGGACCTTAATATCTATATAATTTGTATTTCTAAATTCAAATGACTAATTTTCTGACTTTAAATGGGAACACTAGCAACCGAAACATTTACAATCCTCATTTCACGGAATATCCTTTTCAGGTCATTGTTGCCGAAGCAAGCACTGCAGAGAAACGATCATCTACAGTTTCTCTGACGATCAACGTGTTCAACAAAAACGACTACGCCCCAACCTTCCCAGCTACAACATCCGTCACCAAGGTCGGAGAGGGAGACTACTCTCTCAACCCCCAAACCATCCTCACGGTAAGTTACAGATTATACGGAATGAAACAAGAATGCTAAACCATGCTGCCTTTGCTTATGACATTATCGTTATCATTTAATTTTTGTTGACGATAAAACAATGTACAATTTTTCAACATCTTCACTATGACATTGTTATCCCTTTGCTGTCTAGGTTACAGCAACTGATAATGACATTGGTGTCAACGGTGCCATCACCTACTCCCTTGTTAGCGTCAGCGGTGACGGGGATGGCAAGTTCCAAGTTGACAGTACAACTGGAAGTATTCGAGTTGTGGGAAGGGTGGTCCAGAACAACCTCTACACCCTGTCTGTACAGGCTACTGACAACGCCATCGTCGGGGAACAGAAGTCGGCACAAACCGCCGTCATTGTCAACATCACTAGAACCGGAAACCAGGGCCCATCAATCCCATCACCTAACTACAGCATCTTCATCAGCGAGGGCGTACCCATAGATACCTCGATATTTTCAGTTCCGGTAAGTATAGTTACATCTGTTGTGCTAAAATCTTGGTCCACATGTCATTGTAAGGTTGTGACACGGTTTCGTTTCAAATCAGAAGATTTTAATACAGTGTTTTTATGAATTACCTTCTCTGTTTGGCAGGCAACTGATGTAGACAACGACGTTCTGACATACAGCATCATCTCAGGAAACGGCAACCTTGACTTCACCATAGAGCAAAACAAGTGAGAAGATCATGTTTTATTATGATGATGCATATTCTCTAATTCTTCATCATATTATTATCACCAATGTTATCTATAAAAGTGAAAACGCCAAAAAGTATTTCCCTTTTCCTAGTCTTAAGAAATCTCTACTAAAAATATTGTACGATTCAGACTATATCAAAAGGGTATAATATAACCTGTTTTGTTTCAGTGGCGTCGTAAGAACGAGAAATCGCCTGGACCGAGAGAGTCGCCCTAACTACTCCCTGTTCGTCTATGTGTCGGACCCCTCGAGCAGAGTAAGGATATACAACGCGTACATCACACCACTCTATCACTAAACCATTATTTCACGGGTCGTAATACTCACTATTATCACTAACTACTGTTAGAGTAAAACAATATAAAATATCCATTATATGTTGAAATGAATGCTTATTACATGTCGCTATTCTTGTCACCCCAGACTGCAACTACTACTCTCAGCATCGTGGTCACCGACATCAACGACAACAACCCCACCTTCCTCAGTCCGCAATACAACTTCGCTGTTGACGAGAATGTGGTCAACGCACCTGTTGGGCGTGTATCGGTACGTGATAGTTTTCAGTTTGTTTTCTTTATTGTTAAAAAATACTAACCATCAAATTCGATTATACGCAGTTTAAAATACAAACTGATTTATTTTCTTAATATCTACGTTTGCAGGCAAACGACCAAGACGAGCCAGGCACAGTCAACTCGCAGATGTTCTACTCACTGAGTGCTGAAAAGTAAGTTCAACCCTTATGATATCGTAAGTTTATATTTTGTAAGTAAAATGCCTCATATGAAATTACGCCCTCATTCCTGGCCAGATAATGACATGGGTTAATCAGTGTGTGAGTGAGGTATTACGTCGCTTTTAGGAACATCTTAATTGGGCTTCACACATTGGACCCATGTCGGAAATCGAACCCGGGTCTTCGGCATGACAAGCGAACGCTTTAACCTCTAGGCTACCCCACCGCCCCCATGGGTGAATGAAGATATTATAACCTTCATTTGATTATTTTCAGATTTACGATTAACTCCCAATCAGGGGAGATAACTACTACCCAAGCTCTGGACTACGAGATACAGAAGGTGCATTACGTTCTTGTCATTGCCCGTGATGCTGCAGTTGACAGTCGCAGTGGAACAACCACTGTCACCATCAACGTTCAAGACAAACAAGACAACATCCCCATCTTTGTGCAATCACTCTACGAGTCCAAAGTTCCAGAAAATGAGGCCAGTCATCTGGTCGCTACTGTTAAGGTGTGTTGCATTATAAATCATAGAATAGTTTGTTACAGTAGGTCTTTTAAGTTTAACGCCGTGTCCCATTTTACGACCAATACTCGAAATCATAAGAATGTTGATAAACGTGTGAACTTTAACGAATATGTGTAATGCACAATAATGCATTTTAATAACTTTCCATGATTTGATTGTTAACAGGCTGAAGACGCAGACTCTGTCGACAACATCGTTTACCAACTGATCGGCAGTGGAGCTAGCAACTTCACCATCTCACAAAATGGCGAGATACGCACTCAACAACCACTTGATTATGAAAGAACGAACTTTTACGAGTTCTTCGTCACAACAGCCGATGGCATCAACTCGTTCCTCCCATCAGCCACCGCGACTGTCAGAGCATCCGTCATTGTGAGTTATCTCCCCATTGATATACATCCAAAATAAACTAAAACTGATTTTATCTGCGAAAAAAACATTATTGTTGTATTTGACTAATGATTGTTTCATAAATGACTTTTCAGGATCGAAACGACAATGCTCCAGTAGTGAGCTTATCCTCCACGGCTATAACCCTGCAGGAGAGTACCCCTGTGGGAGACGTCCTTGTCACAGCCACAGCCTCAGACAACGACCCTGCTGTAAGTATTATGTCCACGTGGTCTCTGTGAAACATACAAATTCACTGATTGAAATTAATGCAGTATCCTCGGATATATTTAAAACCAGCTGTATGTTTCTTCCCACAGAATATGGCCAACAGCCGCATTTCCTACAGCATCAGCAGCGTTGTTCCCTCTCAGGGCAGAAACCTCTTCTACATCAACCCCAATAACGGCCAGCTCCATCTGGGTCAGTCTTTTAACACAGATACGTCTAGTGCCAACAGTTACCAGGTCGTGGTGATGGCCACCGACTTTGGCACTCCACCATTATCAGGAACTGCCACCATGAACATCAACGTTTTGAGGAACACCCAGGCCCCAGTCTTCAACAGTGCCAACTACCAGGCCACCATTGATCATACTCTGGGGGTTGGTAGTAGCGTCTTGACCTTGTCGGCCACTGATGGGGATACACAGTCACCATACAACTTCATCTCTTATTCACTTGTTGGGGATGGCAATGCACCTTCCTTCTTCCGACTTGATGGGGCTAACAGTGGCTTGATCATTGTGAAGGATACTTTGACAAGGGATTCTAGCCTGTCTTACTTGGTGAGTTTTCTACGAAGTAACAGTTACCATTCAAAGAGTAAATTTTTATTTTTATAATAATAATAATAATAATAATAATAAAGCGACAAAACCCTTTCCATATCCAATAGAAATCTATGCATAAAGCAGAGTTGATAGTACGATTCCGACTATTTCATAAGCATGTGTTTATGAATCACTATCAAATAGTGATGACACCAGGTGTTTGAAAAGGTGAGCGTATCCTGCCTCACCCGTGGCACCCGTCACATACACATGCAAAGACAAGTCAATAATCTCGATGACATGTTGGGTCTTTTCATATGAAGTAAGATCTTCAATATCTATATTTCAGTTACGAGTTGTAGCTACTGATGGTGGAAGTCTTGCAACAACAGCAACAGCAACAATAATCATCAACAGAAATCTGAACCGCCCCGCATTCGTTCAAACATCACTGTCAGCTCAAATTGTCGAGAACTTCCCACTGGCTACTTCTATAGCCAAAGTCCAGGCAGTGGACAGTGATATCCTAGCCCCTTACAATCAAGTGACCTACAGCATCACTGGAAACCAGGACGCTGTGAATTATTTCGCTATATCCTCTAGCGGAGAAATCTCCCTGAAGCGCTCCCCAGCCGACACCACCATCAACACATTCCAGGTGACTGTGTCCGCTCAGGACAGTGGTCTTCCAGCTCCGCTTGCAGCCCAGACCAATGCTGTAGTCACAGTGACAATCTCGCGAAACCAGAACCCTCCAATCTTCTTCAACTCAAGCTACAGCGCCCCTATTACAGAAACGTCTCCGATCGGGTCTTCCGTCATCCAGATCTCTGCAACCGACTCGGACTCAAATGTAAGGAAAATAATGAGTAAAATAATCAGTATAATGCGTAATAATTTTTTGATGAATTAATATGAAATTTGGTATAATTTTTTACCATGTTTTTTACCATTTTCAGCCCCAGTTCAACCAGATCAGATACACTGTTATTGGTGATGATTCTGCCGGGACCTTCTTTGGTATCAACCCCATCACAGGACTCCTGTCAGTCAAGGCCTCCTTACAGTCTGAGAACGTCGACAGATACAGTGTAAGTGTATTCACATTGCAATGCCCTATCTAATAATATGACATCTAAAAAGCACTATCCAATATTACTGTTGTTATCTACTGCCTATTAATGCTGAAAATAACTTGTACACCATTTTCTCTTTAAGGTTCGAATTGTCGCCACAGACAATGGTTCCCCAGCCAGAAGTGCGACTTCAATCGTCCTTGTAAATGTTCAGAGGAACTTCTTCGCACCAGAATGGCAGAGTCAAACCTTCACCACCAACGTCCTTGAAACACAAGCTTTGGGTGTCCCAATCTTGTCAGTGATTGCAACCGATCGTGACCGGCAGACCCCACATAATGTCGTATACTACCAACTAACCGGAAGTGCTACAGTGTTAGCACACTTCCAGATCAATGAGGTCACTGGTGAGATCAGCATCAGGACTCCCCTGACTTCAGACTCGTCGGATCCTAATCAATACGTAGTAAGTACAGTTTGATCCTAATCCAACGCGATGTTATCCATTCTAATGATGCTTTGATAATTCAAATATATTTCTAACTATCAGGTTCTAAACTGATACATATTTATCTGTTTCAGTTTTCTGCTCGAGCAATCGATCGTGGTACCCCAGCAAAAACTTCAACCAACGATGCCAGCGTTGTCATCAATGTTGTACGCAACCAAAACGGTCCTTCCTTTGTTAGAGGACCTTACAGCAGATCCATTCGCCAGGATCTGGCTGTTGGGTCGTCTGTCATTCAGATCACCGCTGTCGACCCTGACACACAAGCGTCTTTCGGAGACATTAGCTACAGCATTATCGGCATCGACACCGCCCCGTCTTTCTTCAGCATTGACAGTGTCACCGGACTGATGTCACTGAGGGCTAGTGTAGCCACTGATTCAACAACGGAGTACAGAGTGTTGGTACGAGTCGAGGACAGTGGATCGCCGCCCAAAAGTGACCTCACAGTTGTGACTATTACTGTCAACAGGAACCTTGCAGCGCCCGTGTTCAACGCTCAGTCCTACAACATCACTATACTGGAAACTCAAAACCTGGGAGACACTATAGTCACAGCCAGAGCCACAGACTCTGATCTTATGGTAAGTGGCTTGCGATGCAAATTCATCACTGATCTTAAGCTTCGATTTATCCTTTTCCGAATGAATATAAAACCAAACGCCATGCGAACTATATTGTTTCGATTTCTTTCCAGTCCCCTAACAATGCTATTGTGTATAGTGGAGTGGGAACTGCAAGAGCGCTGGAATACTTCTACATCAACGTTGTGACTGGCGATATCTCTGTTCGGCGCTCCCTAATTGACGACACCACCGCGAACAACGACAGATACACGGTACGCTGACTGCATGGGATGTCTAAATATTCTATACATCTATATCCTATTGAATCAAAAGGATCAAATTTATCTTAATTAATTTAAAAAGTTTACTCCCTAATTGAAAGTATTTACTATTTCCACTGTTTCAGCTTACCGTGGCTGCCGAGGATCAGGGTGTCCCAGTCTCCCTGAGGGCCACACTACCTACAACTGTCAACATCTACGTGATCAGAAACCAGTTTGGACCCGCATTTGCAAACACTCCATACCTTGACACTATTTCTCAAGCCACAGCTCTGGGAACAAGCGTCTTTAGAGTCAAAGCCAATGATGGCGATCTTAGGGTGTGTACAACCTTCATTGTCAGATCTGAAGCACTTCAATAACAAATCTGAAGTGTATGCTCGTGATGCTCTATTCTTTTACCATCTTAAATATGTCCTAATTTCTCTTCACAGTCTCCCTACAACACAGTGCAGTACAGTTTGATTGGCGACGACAACGCTCCCAACCTTTTCACCATCAATCCCGTCACTGGACAGATTACGACACGCGCATCCATTTCCAGCGACACCGCGCCCTTCTATAGACTTCGTATTATGGCCTACGATGGTGGCAATCCCTCAAGGAATGCTTACGAAGTTGTGACGCTGACAGTGGACCGCAACCTATTTGCACCTGCCTGGGTCAACCCCTCCGGCCCCGGCTTCACAGCTGCAACCACAATCTTCGAGAACGCCGACTTCAGCACTCCTGTCTTCCAAGTGTCCGCCATTGATAACGATGCAGCGGTAAGATCATTGACCAAACAATTTCAATACGTATTAAAACATAAAGAATTTTTTTTTCAGAATTTAATTCAAAGTTCAGTCCATATATGTGAGTATTTTTCACCTTCAGGCTCCCTATAATACTGAGGTTTACAGTCTGGTTGGAGACAGTTCGGCCATGACCTACTTCTCGATTGACCCCAACAGTGGCCACATCCGGCTGAAGACCTCGCTCCTCCAGGACACTGCTCAGCAATATACTGTCCTGGTCCGTGTCACAGACAATGCCCAACCCCAAAGACCAGCTGCCAATACGGCAACAGTCCTGGTCAATGTCCTGCGTAATAAGTTTACCCCCTTCTTCCTCAACTCTTCGTACTCTCGTCAAATCTCGGAGAATCTCGCAGTGGGTTCTTCAGTGGCCCAGGTTACGGCTTTGGACAATGATCCACAGAATACCTTTGAACGGGTTTACTATGACATTATCGGAGATGACGCTGCCCCAGTTTACTTTGATATTGCTCAAACCACGGGGACACTGTCCTTATCACAATCATTGGTTGGCGTAGTCGAGAGTACATTCTATGTCCGGGTTCGGGCCTATGATAATGGTCAACCTATTCCAAGAAGTAACACCACTGTGGTCACCGTCACCATTAAGAGGAACCTCAATGCACCAGTTATCTCCCCTACACTATACGAGAAGGTCATCCCTGACACCACTCCGCTGGGAACGGTAGTTGCTACTGTCGGCGCTACTGATGCCGATACAAGTTCTCCTCACAATGTCATCCGATTCTTGTCTAGTACTACGAACTCACTGGCCGACGAGTTCTTCTTTCTTGATGCTGTATCTGGTGATGTGTCAGTGAAGAAATCTCTCACCCTCGACACGACCCAGAACTCAGTTTATGTGGTAAGTACTTCTAAAATAATATATTATTATAGTTTTTAATTGTAAACATTCCCGCATTTTAGCGATAAACCGCTTTATAAATGACTTAAAACGTAATTTAAAACATCTGTAACTGGATGACATAATCATTCATAATAAGAATTCTTATAATATCTGAAATATATGTAACTTAATATCCCCCATTACAGATGACCGTTAGAGCTTCTGACTCCGGGGTCCCCCCTCTGACAACATCACAAGAAGCCCAGGTTCGAATCCAGGTGACACGGAACAGCCACGCCCCATTCTTCTTCCAGTCTCCTTACAGCGTCACTATTCCAGAGATGCGCAGTGTTGGGACTGTCATCACTCAGGTTACTGTTTCGGATGCAGACACTGTGGTGAGTTTCTTGTTCAGGCACATTTTAATGTAAGTCCCTCTAACTTACTTAAACATTGAATCAATCTGTTTCATTCATCGAACTATGAATATGCCATTCATTGATCAAACGACTTATTGATGAATTTCCTGAATTCCAGACTCCTTTCAATGCCGTGACCTTACGGGCTGTCGGTGACGACCTTGCTACAACATACTTCGGCATCAACCAGACTGGTTCTGTGTATATACAGGGAGATCTCAGGAGCGACACACTCCCGTTTTACAGGGTAAGTTCGTCTTACAGATGCCTTTTGAAATGAAAACAAACACCTAAATACTACTACTATCCATCAAGATATTTGAAATGAATTTATCTATATTGTCACCGATTTCTCTCCAGCTAAGAGTGGAAGCTCGCGATGGTGGCTCTCCACCCAGAAGCGCCACTGCACTGGTCAACATCAATGTTCAGCGCAACCTCTACGCCCCAGTGTTCAACCCAACACGCTATGAAGAAACCATCTTGGAAACCACTGGACTGGGAGTCAGTCTCGTCAGAGTGCTGGCTACTGACGCAGATACAAGGGTGAGTATTGGAATATAATATTCATTGTACCTATCATCAACTCTGTTCACAACAGATATATAAATCGCATGGAACTTGTGTACAGTAATTGTGTACAGTAATCCTTTCAAACTTTAATGTTTCAGGCTCCCCACAATGTAACACGATTCAGCATTAGCCAAGGCACGTCCAGTTCTCGGGGACGCGACTACTTCATCATCGATTCCGTCAGCGGAGATGTAACCCTCCGACAGTCTCTAATGACCGACACCTCCCAGGCTACAGTTTATACCGTAAGTTAGAGTGAGTGAGAATTTAACGTCGCATCAGCATTATTTCAGCCATATAGCGACAGTGAGTTAAAGTTGGTTGGTTGATTTGTTGTTTAACGCCGCACTCGGCAATATTCCAGCTATATGACGGCGGTCTGTAAATAATCGAGTCTGGACCAGACAATCCAGTGATTGATATCGTGATCATCGATCCACGCAATTGGGATCGATGACCTGCATCAACCAAGTCAGCGAGCCTGACCACCCGATCTCGTTAGTCGCCTTTTACGACAAGCATAGTCGCCTTTTACGGCAAGAATGGGTTGCTGAAGACCTATTCTACCCCGGATCTTCACGGGTCCAGTAAGTTAAAGAACAAGGTGGAAAAACTATAATCTATATTTAAAACGTATTCGGAAATTTGTGTACAGTTATGACCTTAGTATCAATTTGTCTTTACAGTTCAACGTTGACGCTACAGACAACGGTGTGCCTCCCCTGTCTGGCACCAACCCCGCTACCGTCATCGTCAACGTCGTCAGGAACCGCAATCCACCATTCTTCATTGGCAAACCTTACAGCGCCCGCATCAACAGTACCTTATCAGTGGGGGCACCTGTGTACGACATAGATGCCCAGGACTCGGACACCAGGGCTCCTTACAACACCATCCAATACGACGTCATCGGCGACGATGTGTCACCTGTGTTCTTCACAGTCGAGTCACAGTCCGGTCAAATCAGGCTGACGCAGAGCATTCTAATGGAATCGGAACTCATCTACCCAGTAAGTGTCTTTATTGTTCCTTATGCAAATATACCGAACCATTCGTCCCTTTCAATCAGATCAGCCGGTGTTAATATTCTTGTCAGCCACTGTCATTCATCATTTACCACTTCAGGTGCGAATCCGAGCACGTGATGGCGGAAACCCACGTCTCACAGCAACAGCCCTTGTTTCCGTGATTGTCAACCGCAATCTGCACGACCCTAGCTTCCTCAGACAATCGTACGACATCACCATTCTGGAAACTACTGCTCCAGGAACCAGTTTCATCAATGTCGTTGCCAACGATGCTGATGTCACAGTGAGTAGATTGTACCAGATATTAACATGTTTATCCCAGGAAACCCAATAAACACAGTATCTATTGTAGAATACCTCCATTGCGCGTGTGTAACAATGTACATTTTCTTCCAGGCTCCCTACAATGTGGTTCGTTACTTCTTTGCCGCTCCCGAGGATCGCTTCTACCTCGACCAGATCACGGGTCAAATGAGTGTCAGAAAGAATCTTGTTGGAGAGTCCCAGAGCTCATTTACAGTAAGTTAATAATCGAGTCTTGACCAGACAATCCAGTGATTGAAACCATGAGCATCGATCCAAGCAATTGGGATCGACGACATGCATCAACCAGTCAGCGAGCCTGACCACCCGATCCCGTTAGTCGTCTCTTACGACAAGCATAGTCGCCTTTTACGGCAAGCATGGGTTGCTGAAGACCTATTCTACCTCGGATCTTCACGGGTCAGGACTCAATGGACAAAACACACTATATATTAAACATTTACTTATAAATTCAATCATATACCGTTTTAAATTGATAACAATATTATACTAATAAATTCATCGTATCCCGTTTTTATATTTTTGTCATAAATATGTCATTCATATTCATTCTAATAAATTCATCATATCCCGTTATGTAATAAATATGTCATATGTCATATAAATTCTTCATTATTTGGTGAAATTGATTTTTCAGTTCAGTGTACTAGCCCGTGATGGCGGAAGTCCAGCGAGGAACAGCACTGTTGTCCCCGTTACAGTAACTATCCTCCGTAACAAAAACCCACCAACCTTCATCAGTGAGCCTTACACCACAGACCTCAGTTCCAACACGCCCGTCTCCACCAGCCTCGTTCAGGTAGCCGCCACTGATGCTGATACACAGGAGCCATTCAACAGGATCCGATTCAGCATTATCGGGGATGATGCAGCACCTAGCCTCTTCGTCATCGACGGCTCTACCGGCGTTATCAGGCTCAACGGCAACATCAACACCGATTCCAGCAGCATCTATAAGATTCGTGTCTTGGCTCAAGACGGTGGCAGTCCTAGTTTGTCAGATACGACAGTCGTGTCTGTGAACATCACCCGTAACCTCTTCCCTCCAGAGTTCCAGACAACATTCTCTAACGTTGCAATCACTGAAAACCAAGCCCTTGGCGAGTCCTTCTTCAATGTTCTTGCAAGGGACAATGATGTGAATGTAAGTTACTACGACTTGAGAAAATCTAACATCCTCTTTGTAAATCACCTTCATTTCATTTAAAGTAATAAACAAATCATAATCATAATAATTGATCATACTAATCATAATAATTCCTCAACAGATTCCCAACAATGTGGTCAAGTACACACTGTCTGGCAATGCAGTGGCCAAGGAGTATTTCCAAGTGGGCAGTCTGTCTGGTCAAATTTCCCTGCTTCGCTCAGTGTCTGTTGACGGCAACAAACCATCCACATACACGCTTACCATCACCGGGCGAGACATGGGCATCCCTCCCCGCGCCGCCATCAACACGGCTACAGTGACGGTAGCAGTAGCGAGGAACAACAACGCCCCCACCTTCCAGGGCTTGCCATACTCCAAAACAATCTCCAGGACTCTAGGCGCTAGCGGCAGCATCATTCAAGTCACAGCTGTGGACGCTGATACCAGAGTACGTTTTTTTTACTGTTATTGGTATAAATCGTGATGATAAATTGTAACAATAAATAGTTAAATAACCGAGGTATTTTCTCATATTTAAAATATATTGCTCTTATGAAAAACTATAATATAATATTTTATTTTATTTTTTTAGACCCCATTCAATCAGGTGACATTGAGTGTTATTGGAGATGATTCGGCGCCAAATCTCTTCACTCTTGACAACTCTGGAACCATCCGTGTTGCAAACAACGTCGACCTGGCCAAAGATTCCGCTCTAAACTACAAGGTGAGTGAATGTTTCAATGGAGTCACGTTATATATCGTCAATCAATTATGAACATAGACACAAACTAAATGAAACCAGACAAGGTCATCCTTTCTCCATATAACTCATGGTAGTCTAAAACATTTGTTCATTTGAAATATCTTCACTCCACTTGTAGCTGCGAGTCCTTGCCTATGATGGCGGTGTCCCCTCACTAAGCGCTACAACAACTGTGGACATCACTGTGCAAAGGAACATCTTTCCACCCATCTTCACAAACAACGATGTCATCCGCATCGTCATCCAAGAAAACACAGCAGTAGGTACGCTGATCGCCGATGTCAACGCTACCGACGCCGATCCTGATGCTCCCAACAACGTCTTTAGCTACAGCGGCATTGGCGATGGAGATGCCACTACCTACTTCTTTGTCAATCCAGTCGATGGAAGGATAACTCTTTTGAAATCTGTGAATGGCAGCCGTATTTCTGGATTCAGGGTAAGCGTGAAGGCCTACTTTGATTGTTCATTATTGTTTCGTATCATATTTATTATCGCTACACGTTATGAATAGTAATAAGTGTAAGCACATTTCGAAATAATATTACATAGTTACTTATGTTTAATTTTTGTTTTAGCTAATTGTTCAGGCCCAAGATGGCGGCTTCCCTCAGCTACACAGCACCACCACCGTTGAAATCAGCATTCTGAGGGACACCGACTCTCTTCAGTTCAGCCTCCCTAGTTACAGAGCCAGTATATCCGAGAATCTACAGGTCAACACTGCAGTCACAACTACTGTTGCACAGCCTGGGGTAGGTGCATCAATTCTCAGAAAACAACATTTTCCGCGTTTATATCCCTTGTCGTATCAGACACTTCTTAACTTAATAAACACACATATGATAGCAAGAGAACATTAAGTATTAATATCTTATTCCAGCCTGGCGTGAGCTACATGTTGACTGGGTATAGCAGCGGGCCTGACTACTTCAGTATAGACGCCAGCACTGGAACCATCTTGGTCAAGAAAGATCTCAGGAGTGACCTCAACAAACTCAATATGTACTATGTAAGTAGCTGTAGAAATAGTATTAAAATAATCCTAGGTTTTCACCATCGTATCTCAGCGGAACATAACCTATCCAAAATGATACAGTTGTTTTTCACTTTCGTCGGTTGTTTTCGTGGTGATCTTACCTGGGTTTACCTTACTTTCCTTTCAGCTCCACGTTAAGGCTTCCCGTCAGTTCACTACTGGTCTTAAGACGGCTATGACACAGGTAAATATCTCTGTCATCAGGAATGAGAACCCACCTGTGTTCAGTAGAGAGATCTACCAAATGACCATTCCAGAGACCCGGAACTTAGGGTCATCTGTCCAGCAACTAACAGCCACTGACGCCGACGCTCAAGACATCCTCGCCTACTCAATTGTTCCCCAGGGGAACATCTCCGACATCTTCTACCTTGGCCCTTCATCAGGACTCATCTCTCTCAGGACGATTCTGGAAGGGGGAACTATTAATGTCTATCAGTTTAACGTCATCGTCAGTGACCAGTCGCAGCCTGCCAAAACCGACACCGCAACGGTTATTGTAAGCATTTTGAGAGACACCTATGCCCCAACCTTTGTGAGAGAGCCTTACAATACCGATGTCTCCTTCAACGTTCCTGTTGGCACGAACATATACAACGTGGAAGCTACTGATCAGGATCAACAAGGAAGCATTGTATACGAAACAATCGGATATCTTGCTGGACCAGGCTACTTTAAAATAGACTCCAATACAGGAGCTGTGACCGTGAGGGCGCCTTTAACAACTGATTCCTCATCGTCATATGTGGTAAGATGGTTATTAAACTTCTATTCTAAAGTCGTTATGTAACTATTGCAAAATATTTGGAAAATAAACTGACATAATTGTGAAACTAGTACTTATCATTACTGTCTTGTTTCGTTTCCAGCTTGGTGTGATGGCCTATGACAGCGCAAGACCTCTTCAGAAGGACTATGCCAACTTAACCATTGTCGTGAACCGTAACCCAAACCCCCCAGTCTTCACGCAGACCACCTATGCCAGACGTATTCCAGAATCCTTTGCTCTTGGTGCCAATCTTGTCCAAGTCACAGCCACTGATGCTGACTCGGTGAGTATTGGAATTATGTTCTTACAATGTTTCATTTTAAATATTTTTCAGCTTCTGTGCTTTGACGTCATAATGTCATGATATATTCTTCCATAACATGTCAATATTATCATTTTCCAGCACTCTGTGCAATATGAGATTGTATCTGCCACCCCATCTGAAGGAACGCTCTACTTCTATATGAACAAAGACACGGGAGTGTTCACTATCGGCCGTCCTCTCACAGAAATAGCTTCAAATGGATTCACAGTAAGAATATATTAGCCTAAATCTACAATTACATTATTTGATGATTTCAAAGATCTACTCCATGCTTTCTATTAATAAATCAAAGAATCACTCTTGATCATCTCGTTAAACCCAACTCACTCACTCTTTGGCTTTTTTTTTCAAGTTCAACGTTCGAGCAGTTGACAACGGTGTGCCTTCTCAGCAGAGCTCCACTTTAGCCCAAGTGTCCATTTCAATTGACCGCAACCAGTTCAGTCCCTTCTTTGTCGGCGGCCCCTATGAAGAAATCATAAGAGAGAACGTTCCTGTAGGAACAAGCGTTCTCCAGGTCTCTGCCAGCGACAATGACCCCCAGGGATCAGCCTTCTCCAACATATCGTACGTCCTCATCGGAGACGACTCTATGCCATCCTACTTCACCTTGAACAGCATCACAGGAACTATCTCTGTCAGAGCTAGTCTTACTGCGGAAACACTTGCCACGTACCAAGGAAGAGTAGTGGCTTACGATGGCGGTGCCCCGCCCCGTAGTGCTACGGCAGTGGCTAAGATCACTGTCTTGAGGAACTTGTTCGAACCTCAATTCAATGAGCGCAACTATGAAACAGAAATTCTGGAAACTATCGCAGTAGGAACATCGATACTACAAGTCCGAGCTGTAGACAATGACACAAGGGTATGTACAAGTCAAGGTTTTCTTAAAGTTAGTATTTCTTAAAACTTCTAAAAATGTCATTACTGATTTCCAGTGATCCATTCATATAATTTTTTATAGCGTTGACGTTATATATTTATAGATTGCATTCAACAACTTTGCATCCAAGAGTGATATGATGTATGAAAAGGGGACATGGTTTTGTCGCTTTTATTTATACTAATTAGATATATCAATATTTCCAGCCTCCCTTCAACACAGTCCGGTATGAAATGCAGAGTGGGGTGTCTCAGGCTGATATCTACTTCCAAGTGGACAGTTCCTCAGGAGCCATCTCAGTCCGAGCCCCCCTCACTGGCGACACCCAGAACCAGGCTACGTTCCAGGTACACGACCCTTTACTTTAAAGCAGCGAAAATCTCTCTTTATCTACCTTCAAATACACCATAGTGTCCTAAGACCTTTCATATCTCTTTATCTCCCTTCAAATACACCATAGTGTCCAAAGACCATTCAACTCTCTTTAGCTCCCTTCAAATACACCATACTGTCTAAAGACCATTCAACTCTCTTTATCTCCCTTCAAATACACCATAGTGTCCAAAGACAATTCAACTCTCTTTATCTCCCTTCAAATACACCATAGTGTCCAAAAACCTTTCATCTCTCTGTATCTACCTTCAAATACATCATTTCATTTTCCTCCAGTTCCAGGTGTTGGCGCGGGATCTTGGCACCCCGTTCTTGGTGTCCACCCTTCTGGCTAATGTCAGGATCAACGTCCAGAGGAACATTAACCCACCTTTCTTCATGGCGGAGCCGTACAAAGCCACCATCAACTTCAACACTCCAGCCGGGTCCAGTGTCATCACTGTCTCCACCCGTGACAACGATCTCAGGGTATGTGATGTCGAATAATATTAAGTCAGCAAAATATACCCTGACATATACCAACATTACTTAAGAAGGATATATTTTGCTTCATTCGCTCCCCTTTTGTTGTTCCAGGCTCCTTATAATATTGTATCCTACACCGTCATCGGCGACGACAATGCTCCAAACATGTTCACAATTGGCGCACAAAGTGGAGACATTTCCACCAACAGCCAGGACCTACAGTCCGACACTGCTTCGGAGTACAAGGTGAATAATTCCTCAATATTTAACTTGCTTCAGATTAATAGGTTTCAGATCATAATTGAACTATAACGACTTAATGTGTATTGTCATCAAAACGAATACAAATACAAAATGTCATAATGAATATTTGTTCATGCAGCTCCGAGTATTGGCAAGAGATGGCGGTTTTCCCTCGCTGACAGCGACCACGACGGTTCTCATCATCGTTGAGCGCAACCTGAACGTTCCCCGGTTCCTTACACAGAACTATAGCGTCAGCATTTATGAAACTCAAGACCTGGGCGTTCCAATACAGCAACTCTCAGCTATTGATCTGGATATATCTGTAAGTAGATAATCGCCTAATGTTTTTAATGACAACCGTGCATACCCAAGAAACGCTATATTGTAAGAACCAGGGATAGACCTATTTAGCAATGACCTGCTTGTCTGAAAAACCGAACTTATATTGATGCTCGACTATTTCAGAGTCCTTACAACGATGTCACCTTTAGATTGGTTGGTAACAGTCTAGCCCAGGAGTATTTCGCCATCGACCCAAGCATCGGTTCCGTCTATGTGAAAAAGGCCTTAACGCTCGTCTCCCAAAAGCAGTTTGTAGCCACCGTGTCTGTGCAAGACAACGCCCGCAACCCCCTCATTGCTCCAGACAACGCCTTCGTCACCATCAACGTCATCAGAAACGACCACCTCCCTGTCTTTGTTGGTGAATCCTGCAACCGAGATCTGAGCCAGAATGTAGCTGTTGGAACCAGTGTCACACAAGTCACTGCCGTGGACAGTGATTCAACGGTATGGTAAAACAACAATAATGATGATAACAATTATAATTATCCTAACATAATGGTAATATAAATAGTTCTATTCTAAACCCGTTGATCAATGAGATAACGGTTCTTGTACATTTTTCAGAACACTCCATTTGGTCGTATCACTTACGACATCATCGGCGACGACTCTTCGCCCGTCTACTTCAACATCAACCCTTCGTCTGGTCTTGTGACGGTAAGCCGGTCTCTATCCCAGGAAAATGTCGATAAGTACAGTCTCCGTATCCAAGTTCGTGACCAGGGCGTGCCCTTCAAGTTCAATACAACTGTCTGCGTGTTGACAATCACCAGGAACTTCCGTGCACCAGTCTTCATCAACAACCAACACTCCGCCACTATTGACGAGACTCTGCCACTTGGAAGCGTCATCCTCACCGTCAATGCTACCGACTCAGATACTTTGGCACCAAGCAACATCGTTCGTTACGAGGCAGTGGCTAATACAGGCGACGAGGAATGTTTCCTTGTCAATGAGATAACAGGACAGTTGGTTCTCCGTAGAGCCATCATGTACCCTCCATGCACAGCAACTGTCCTCACCGTAAGTACAAACAAAATACAAAAACTACAATATATTTAATAATTTATTTACCACCTGAATACATTTGTTCATCGTCAAATAATTACAACTGGACACAATATTGTCGATCAAGTAAGCAAAGTGCATAAAATTATCTAATTGATTTTTACAGATGTACGTTCGGGCATATGATCTTGGGGTACCTCGCTTGACCAGTTCAGTGGCCAATGTGACGGTCATTGTCAACCGAAACAGTTTCACTCCCGAGTTCCTCAACACCAAGTACAACACATTCCTTCCGGAGACGACACCAGCTAATACTCTTGTGTTTGATGTAACAACTCGAGACCGGGACACCGTGCCTCCCTTCAATGTTGTCCGTCATAGCATCATCGGTGACGACTCAGCAACCACCTTCTTCACCATCGACGACGTGTCTGGACAGATCGCTCTAGCTCAATCCATACTTCCTGATACTGAGACGTCATACAGAGTAAGTGTTGTTGGAAATACCAATGAACATTCTGCAGACATTCTGTTGGTAAACAATTAATTCGAAAACAGAATATTCTATATATTCACGGGGATATTTTTGTTTCAGATCCGAGTCCTGGCCACTGACCAGGGTACGCCCTCACGGACAGCCACGGCCACGTTCAATGTCCAGGTGACAAGGAACCTGTTCGCACCACAGTTCAACCCTCTTAACTACGAGGCCGACATCTACGAAACCCAAACCCTTGGCACATCCATCATTAGGATCAATGCAACTGACAGAGACACCAAGGTACTTGATAAGTGTTTTGCATGGATGTCTAATAGCCAAGGATATTTTTTTGCATGTTAGTAAAAACTGATATAATTATGTTATTAATTTCACAATGTTCCTTTTATACAGAGTCCCTACAACAGCGTGCGGTATGAGGCTACAGGCACTCAACAGGCCCTCACTTACTTCAATATCGACAACGTTGATGGAACCATCTCTGCTCAACGCTCTCTCACTCTGGATCTCACCGATACTACGATCTATACGGTAAGAGGATTGAAAGATCATTGCAAATTTTTGTGATATAGATACGTACCAATATTATTCATGAAGTTGAACTGCTGTGCAGTTTCCCGTGTCTCTGTACATTACTTAAATATCCGTTTTCTCTGTTAATCAGATGACAGTGAGAGCCTCTGATCTCGGTACTCCAACCCAGCAGAGCACTCAGGTTGCCACTGTGAGGATCAACGTCCTCCGTAACAACAACTGCCCGCAGTTCACCAACCTCCCGGCAAACATCACCATTCCAAAGTCTGTCAACTTTGGTAGCAGCTTGTACAACATCACCGGTGTTGACAACGACCCACCAGGACGATTCAGTACTCTCATATACGACATCATCGGTGACGACAATGCACCTGTCTACTTCAGCATCAACACCGTCACTGGTGCGGTCAGTGCACTGCCTAATCTGTTCTCTGACACCACGACCATGTACAGGTTACGAGTACGTGCCCGTGATGGCGGCTCTCCTTCGTGCGAGAGATATGAAGTCCTCACCATCCACGTCCAACGTAACGAACACCCACCCACTTGGGTCCCCAGGGGTGATTACACTACAACCATCTTGGAGACACACAGCATCCTGAGCCCCATCACACAAGTTTCTGCTGGAGATCAAGACACAAATGTAAGAACAAGATGTTTTGGTATCTCATAAAAATTCTAACCTAAAATATGTTCTATTTTGGATATAATATTGTTCGTACGACACACCAACGTATTCTAATTTTCTTGTACACGTTCTGTCTTCAGAGTCCAAACAATGTTGTGATGTACAGTCTCGCACCAACCTCAAACTACAGGGACATTTTCTTCGTCGATGATGTCAACGGCAACGTTTATTTGAGGACCTCCCTCATTGGGACAACCAGTAACAGTTATGAGGTAGGATCAATCAGAATGTCAACTCATGTAATATTCCTTTATTATGATGATGATGATGATTATTATTATGTACCGGTGCACAGTTTGCGTGGTATTTGATGACTACTGGATAACACTGAACCTCTCTGCTTCCAGCTTTTGCTCATGGCTACTGACCAAGGGTCCCCTGCTCTGTCAAGCACACTTGCCAAGTTAACCGTCAATGTCATCCGCAACGTCAACCCACCCGCCTTCACTTTGGAACCATACACGCAGAACATCACCCAGAATGCTGTAACAGGCGCGCAAATCATCACCGTGTCAGCAACAGATGCCGACCTCACTCCACCATACAACACCCTGACATATGACATCATCGGTGACGACTCCGCACCAACCTACTTCGTCATAAACCCATCATCAGGTGTGATCAGCTTGTCTCAGTCAATCTCATCTGATTTCGATGACCAGTACCAGATTCGAGTACGTGTCCAAGATGGCGGAAGTCCGAGACTAAGTGACGTCACTGTGGTGCAGGTCAACGTTGAGAGGAATCTGTTCCCACCAACCTTTACCAGCAATTCGTATGGAGAAGTTATCTTGGAGTCTCAAACCGTGGGAGCTCGTGTTCTCAGAGTCTCAGCCAATGACCCTGACACAACAGTAAGTACCGAACATTGCAAACTGAACGTTGGCGACAGTCCCATAAATCGTGCCCTGCTTATTTTCTAACACTTTTCATTTGTTATATCAATATATATGTCGTTTTTCAGACACCAAACCAGATTGTACGCTATGGTATGTCAGGAGACACACTTGATAACGCATACTTCATGATTGAAGCCGTGACTGGCGACGTCATCGTAAGACGTCCTCTCACCGATGACACCCAAAACACTGTTGTGTTTACTGTAAGCATCAACCTTATTCTACCATGATGAAATCAATACTTCGTAAATGCAATATCGAATTTTAAAGTTTTATTTATCTACCATATTTTCTTATTCACAATTCGTTCTGCAAAATAATCATACTCATCATTTATATATTTATGATACCTCTTTTAGTTCCAAGCAACAGCACATGACCTTGGCGCCCTTCAACGTAACGCGACGCCCGTTGATGTGACCATCACCGTTATGAGAAACCAGAACAGCCCCCAGTTCCTTCAGGCGCCCTACAACACCACAGTCACGCAGAACCTTCCGGGCGGGAGCAGCGTCTACCAAACTACTGTTACAGACAGGGACACTATGGTACGAACATCACATGGTCATACACAGAGATGCATGTATAATCCTTACACCCCAGCAAGTGCAACATAAACAAATCTACTATATCTTTTAATGTTTATTGCAATCTTTGACATCATGAAAATAACAATTTTATTCTAACCAGATCGATTTTCTTACAGGCTCCTTTCAATGTTCTCGCATTCGAACTCATCGGCGACGATTCTGCGACCTCTTTCTTCACCATTAGCCCAAGCAGTGGTCTCATCACTCTGAGAAATGGTGCCGACCTCACCACCGATACTGAAATTCGGTACATAGCTCGTGTTCTTGCTCGAGATGGCGGTGTTCCTTCGAGGAGTGCCACGTCGGTGGTAGTCGTCAACGTCTTGAGGAATTTGTTCTCTCCCTTATTCACGAATGTGGACTTCATAAGGACTTCTATCAAGGAAACACTAACTGTTGGTTCTAACATTGCTGATGTGAATGCAACGGATGCCGACACCAGGGTATGTTTCGTCTGATTACCTAAACGATAGATAATGTTTTATGTTTTATCACACAATGCCATTTAAAAAGTGGTCAATTGTAACAAATGTTATATTTGGAATAACATTTTCTTAGTAAAGTACAGATTATCGTACTTTTTGGGTTGAGTCCCGTCAGTTCGATAATGTTCTAATCTCCGAATGTCCTTATATCATGATGTATGTCTGAGTGATGTGGTTGTAAAAGTTTAATACTCTGTTACAGGCTCCAGACAACGCCATTCTGTACTCCATTGCTGGAGGTGATGTGGCAACAGAGTACTTCTTCATCAACCCTAACACAGGAGAAATTACTTTATTGAAACCTGTGGAAAATATCAACATCAATCTTTTCAGAGTGAGTTCACATTCAAGTCATACTTGTCCTTAAAATCATAACTCCAAGGTTTAATTTGAACACTATATTTTATGTAAATATTTATATAAATCTTTCCAAATGTTTCTTCCTCAGATCCGAACGATTGCAACAGATGGTGGTTCACCTAGCAGAAGTGCCGTTACTTACGTTGAAGTAACGGTTCTAAGAGAGACTGGTCGCCTGGCTTTCACTCTACCCTATTACAGAGTGGTCATCAGTGAGAACACAGAGGTCAACAGAACCATCCTGGTCACTCTAGCTCAACCAGGGGTATGCACATCTACCTTATGATAGTCCACGATTTCACTGCAACAACTTTGAACTCAACCTCTAATACCTCTTAACGACTAAAATTGGTTAATTCATTGGTATTTCATCAGAACCGTAATTATTTCTTCCTATTATTCTCTCGTTTCAGACTGCAACTTACCGAGTGCTTGGGATCTCCCCAGCACCGACCTTCTTTAACGTCAGTTCCCAAACTGGTGCTATTACTGTTCGCGACGATTTGAGACGTGACCCTGCTCGCCTGACCTTCTACCAACTCCAGATCGAGGCTACAGCAACACTCGACATCAGTGTACAGACCGCCACAACGCTAGTTAACATCACTGTGACAAGGAACGAGAACGGCCCTGTTTTCACTGACGACAGCTATGTGATCAGTATCCGAGATACCACTGTCATAGGCACCGTGGTTCTGACAGTCACAGCAGCTGATGCTGATGGGGTAAGTTCAAATTGTAAATGACGATAACTGCTTTCAAATATCTTTTACAATTCTTGAAAACATATTTATTGTTTGATATATATTTTGTATCCTGAATGAATATTAATTATTTCAGGATCTGGTTGACTACCGAATGCTGGACACTAATTCTGCCGGAACTTACTTCTACCTTAATCCTAGAACTGCACAACTCTCGACGAAAATCTCACTCCGTGAGCTTACCATGCAAAGCTTCCAGGTAACTCAATCTACATATACCCTCACAGAAATCTTAAACCCTCAAACAAGAACGTTCTTCTAAAAGATTATGTTCACAATTGTTTGACTTAAGTTTTTCCGTTCCAGTTCCAGATCCAGGCTGGTGATCAACGCGCACCAGAGAGAACTTCGAGGACCAATGTCACAGTCGTCATCGAACGTGATCAGCAACGACCACAATTTGTCCAAGATCCCTACACGACTGCGGTACAAGAGACTACCGTTAATGGCTCCACCGTCTACCAAGTGTCTGCTTTCGATGCCGATTTACAGGTTCGTGATATTTGCATATGAGCTAAAAGAATATGAATTTGATGACAGAAGTAAAAGGCCCGTGTTCCTGTCCGAAACATGCTATTATAATCCTTTGTCGGTTTTCAGGGCTCCCTTATGTATGAGATTACAGGCGATGGCGTTGCACCAGCTTTCTTTGAGATCAACTCTAATACTGGCGTGGTCTCAGTCTATGACAGAGAAGCTCTGCTGTTTGACAGAGGAACAAACTATAAAGTAAGTTGATAGGTTTCAAGGCTGTCCTACTGATAATACGAATGGAACATCTAGTTTCTGTTCCGAGACTGTATGCATCAATGCTAATGTCATCCTTGTTTTGCAGCTTGTTGTCGTTGTGTATGACTCCGCCTACCCTGCTGTTAGGGATACAGCTGAGGTCAGTATTGCCGTCCTCCGCAACATCAACTCCCCCATCTTCACCACCAACACCTACGAGGTGACCATTCCAGACACATACGAACTCGGAACTAACATCACACAGATCTCTGCAAGTGACAGTGATGGGGTAAGTCTGCATTCTGTTTACTATACATTTCATTATGATAACTGATAATGAATTCTTATCAAAGGACTAATGCTTTTTTTGTTTTTCATGGATGAATTCTTTTTAATTATTTCAGAATATTGTCAAGTATGAGATCATCGGCGATAACCGAGCCTTTGAATTCTATTACGTGAATCCCGATAACGGAGTTATCTCATTGAAGAAGCTTCTCACCGAAGGATCCCAACCCTCCGATACGGTGAGACTGAATGATATCCTTTTGCAAACTACTCAAGTTGATGAAAATATGAGAAAATAACTTAAAAATGTAAAAGGGCTAAATTTAAATAACTTAATTTAAATCGCCATAATTATGTTTCAGCTGACAATACGAGCACGTGACCAGGGTGTCCCGGAGAAGTTCGGCAACTGTTTAGTGATCGTAACTATCAAGAGGGACGACTACGCTCCCGTGTTCACCCGTACCCCTTACCAGGCAACTGTCCAGCGTCTGTCGCCCGTCAACATGACCGTCATCCGAGCTACCGCCACTGACCAGGACTTACAAGGAGATGTCCACTATGACATCCTGGGGAACTATCCTGCTCCAAGCTTCTTCGAGATCAACGCTGCTACTGGTGACATCACAATCAAGCGATCACTAGCATTTGACAGCCTCCTGACAAACACGTACTTTGTAAGTAGGACGAATTGGCGTTTTTTGTAAGTCGGATGTTACACATCATATCAACACAACACATAATTGACATTATTTTATTGCAGGTGACAATGGTTGCTTTTGATACGGTGTACCCCAACAATAGGGCTACCGCCACAGCCACCATCTCTGTGAACAGGAACCCCAATGGTCCTACATTCAACCCACAAGTCTACAAGCGACAGATAGACGAGGACACATCCCTCGGGGCGCTTATCGTGGATGTCAACGCTACTGACTTGGATAACGTAAGATAACACTTTGTGAAAACCATTTTGCTTTTATCGCATTGTTTTTCAATTTTCAAAAACTGAAATTAGTTTGAATAGAATCATCTTAAAATGTGGTTTATTTTTTTGTAGGACGTCATCCGTTACAGTCTAAACGGCGATACCCTTGACAACGAATTCTTCTACTTGAACGAAGACACTGGCTACATTTCCTTGAGGAGAAACCTTTTGTCTGTCACTGATCGGCAGTTTAGAGTAAGTAAAATATTCTCACTGTTGATGTAAATTACCAATAACTACAAATACTCATTTATATTTATGTTGGTTTTGACAATCAATAACGATTAAAACAAACTCTATGTAATCTCTGACCACCCTCTGATATCTCTGTTACTTTTGTCCAGTTCAACGTTATCGCAAGTGACCAGTCCAATCCAGAACGGATTTCAACAGCTAACGTCATCGTTAACATCATCCGCGATGAGGCTCCACCCCAGTTCGTCCAACTGCCCTATGATACGGTTGTCCTTGAGACATCAACTATCGGAACGTCAGTGTACAGCGTTTCCGCCATCGACTCCGACATCAAGGGCACCATTGTGTACTCGGCTACCGGAGACCTGCAAGCTCCTTATTACTTTAATATTAACGAAACAAATGGAATCGTCACCGTCCGCAACAACATCAGAGACGATGTCGCATCTCAATATGCTGTAAGTGTTTCATATGTTCTGAAAGTGTAGTTTTCATCATACGATTGTATGATTTCATTAAAACACTTAAGAAATGTAGAAATGGTTTTAGAAACAAATATTTACTACATTGTACCATATATTTCGTTTAGCTGCGTGTGGCCGCCTTTGACAGCGCATCTCCCGGGAAGACGTCCACGGCCCTGCTGAATATCCAGGTTCTAAGAAACCCCAGCTCTCCCATCTTCACAAGCAGCCGTTATGAGATCACGATCCCAGAACACCAGACTCTTGGGTCTGTAGTGCAACAAGTCATGGCTAGCGATCCTGACGGGGTAAATATTCATTTCATAGTTTCAAGATCATTTGACAATCCATAAACACAATATATTGATAGTCTTTACAAATGAAAGTGCACATTGGTTCGATGTCACAGATGTTTCATACAAAATGCTCTTGTGATTTATAGGACGTTCTGCGATTCAACTTGGAAATAGACAACACTGCCGGTGCATCCAACAGCCTCCTGGCCCTAGAGTACTTCTACATCCTGGAACAGTCAGGCGTCATCTACCTCCGTAAACCTCTAACAGACGATAAGACCGACACTGCCAGATTCACGGTAAGTTTAAAAACCATTTGTTGAATCATTTGTTGTTTAACGCCACACTCAGCAATATTCAAGCTGTATGACGGCGGTATGTAAATAATCGAGTCTGGACCAGACAATCTAGTGATTGATATCACGAGAATCGATCTACGCAATAGGGATACGATGACATACATCAACCAAGTCAGCAAGTCTGACCACCCGATCCGTTGGTCGCCTCTTACGACAAGCATAGTCGCCTTTTGCACTCGGAGCTTGTAAGTTTTCCTTCCTAATCTGGCCCATTACTGTTCCAGATGTTGGTCCGAGCACGTGATCAGCGAGACAATGAGAAGCAGTCGTTCACCGTCGTCGTCGTCAACGTAGAGAGAGACCAGTTCCTGCCTGTGTTCCAACAGACGCCGTACATCACCGGGCTAGCGGAGACCACCTCTGTAGGCACTGTTGTCTTTAGACCATCGGCATTTGACAGAGACCTTGTGGTAAGTGTATAGAATCGTGAATACTGTTGTCATGATTACATACAGTGTTGGCTATTAGCAATGACTAAAGGGCATGAAAAACTTAGACATGATATAAGAAACGATATTCCCAAGAATAAAGGTTTACAGTAAATTGAATTATACTTAAATTATAAAAAATCTGTTTCCAGGAAGAACTCGAGTACAAAATGATCGGCGACACCATCGGCCCCTACTACTTCGGCATCAACTCTACCAACGGCGTCATCACACTGAAGAACAACCTCAGGACAGACAATGCTAATTTCAATTACATCGTAAGTGTGAATACATTGACATATACCCAACTGAGATATAAATATATACATTTTAAACAACAAATGTACACGATTCAGTCCCTATAGTATCATATTTACCGCGTATGTTTCAGCTGAGATTGACAGCTATTGACACCGCCTACCCGACCGAGATCGCCACCGCAACTGTGGACATCCGGGTCACTCGCAACATCAACCCACCTCAGTTTACACAGTCCCCCTACCGCGTCATCATCAACGAAACAGCTGGTGTAGGCGTCGGCATAATGCAGATTTCTGCCACGGACGCTGACGGGGTAAGTTATCATGCCTTATTCACCAACACTATCGTATTTGGTAAGACATGGATTATGTCACATTGATTCAACATTTTTTATTTTCATTGCTGACATTTGTACTGGTTTGTTTTCAGGACCGAGTGATCTACGAAGCAACTGGCGACAATGACACCCTCCAGTACTTCTTCCTGTCTAGCGACACCGGCCTCATCAGCATCAAGAAACCGCTCACATCCTCATCTAGATCTGATTATAGGGTGTGTAACAAGCGATTATCATTAATTTTACGGAATTCTCGGAATATATCAATAACTCAAGGACGGTGAAAGGAAAGCCCCTTCCACTAAAAAAGGTTTAATGAATATTTGTACTTTGTTCAGGTTTCAATATATCCACATGTTGTTCTATCATCAGATGACGATCATAGCTCGAGATCAGGGCAACCCTGAACAGAGCTCGCCCGTCCTTGCCCTCATCACCGTCATCAGAGACCAGGCTTCTCCTTTCTTCATCAACACACAGGATTACAGCACCGTCATCAACGAAGTCCTTCCCGTCGGCAGTACCGTCTTCAACGTAACCGCACAGGACGGTGACCTTCTCGGCGCCATCAACTACGAACTTATTGGAGATTATCCAACCCAGAGTTTCTTCAGCGTGGACAAACTAACTGGGAGTATTGTCACAACTGATAGCTTGAAGAGTGACAGCCTCAGAGCATCCAGATATGTGGTAAGTGTTAAGTTTACTAATGGAAATTGTTTGACACACGTTTTCTGTCTCATTTTCTAACGAGAATCATATCAAACTTCGGAAATAGCGGACGATCTTCACTCCTACATGTCATGTATATTGTGTACGTCTTTGTCTTTCCAGGCCCGGATAATTGCTTATGATACAATTCGTCCAATGGTACGAGCAACGTCAACAGTTGATATCATTGTACTGAGGAACCCTAACAAACCCCAATGGCTTCAGTCCGCCTACATCCAGATCATCTCCGAGACCATGATGGCGGGGACTAGTGTTCTCAACGTCACGGCCACTGACAGGGATGCTGATGTAAGTCTTCAAACGTTAAGGAAATATTTGTTCTTAAAAGTGAAACTAAGTCTTTTTCATTCATTTGTTTTTATGGTTTCATTACCTAAATATTTATCTTCTTTTATTGCAGGATACTGTGACCTATGAAATCCTGAGTCAAACGTCAATGCCTTTTGGTCTGAAAACTCCTTACTTCTACATTGAACGCCAAACTGGTATAATCACCCTGAGAGAGTCTCTTTTCAACAACGACGTCAGCCAAGTTCTGGTACGAATATTACATATACATTGTACCTTGGAAGCATCTTTAACCAGAAATTATAATTCTCCCTTAATATGTGACATACATATATTAATATAATTTTCATTTAGGTAACAGTATTTTGTTTTCTTGCAGATATTCCTCAGAGCCTGTGACAACGGTATTCCCACACAGTGTGCTAACTCCTCAGCAGGCATCGACATTATTAGGAATCAGTTCTCCCCAGTTTTCCAAAACCTTCCATACCAGATCGTTCTTCCCGAAGCAACAGAGCCAAGCACCCAGAATACCCTTCTCAACGTCTCAGCAATAGATCAAGATCTGATTGGTCAGATTGTATATGAGCAGGTGCTTCCTGGCAGTGCCTACTTTGACGTCAATCCTGCATCAGGGGCGATTACTCTCAGATCGAGTCTACTCCTCGACAGCAGACTTCAAATCGTGGTGAGTAAACTAAAGGCTAGTTGCATGAATATTTAATTGAAACAGACATTCAAGTTCCCCACCAGTTCCGTGTACATTGTTCTATTATGTATATTAATTCGAATAATCGTTTGAACAGTTCCAGGTATTGGCGTACGATGACAAACACCCCCAGAGAAAGACAACAGCTGATGTAACTGTCAGTGTGTTGAGGAACCCAAGTGGACCTCGCTTCCTCCGAGATCCTTATGAGGTGACAGTGTCGGAGACGTACCCTCTTGGCGACAGCCTCATCAACACCACCGCCGTGGACTCCGACGGGGTGAGCTATTATAACAATACATCAAATATTAAATACTTCCGAAAGGCTTGGCTTCATTTTCAACAATATCTGTAATAAAGTCAATGACATCATACGTTTTGTGATATTTTCAGGATACTCTCCGGTACTCTCTCATGTCCTTATCAATCGACGAGAATCTCTTCTACATCAACCCCGACAATGGCCTCATCTCTCTCAGGAAACTTCTCTCAGCTTCCGCAGCAACAAGATACTCGGTAGGTTCTGTCTGCATCATTATCTGATATATTTAAACAATCCAGCCATTTCATGCCATTAATAATACGGTTACATTCTCTGGCCCATATTCAAAATTATATTGTACGTTTCAGCTCACTGTTAAAGCCACAGATCAGAGAATTCCGGAACAAACTGCTTCTGCCCTGGTACTGATTTCTGTGACACGGGACAATAGTGCACCATTTTTTGTGGGAGCACCCTATGCTGTCAACGTACCCGAAATTCAGGAGGTCAATTCCACCATTCTCGCTGTCAGTGCTCGGGACAACGACCTGAAAGGGTCTATTCAGTACGAAGCCGTCGGGGTTTACCCCGCAACATCCTTCTTCAATGTTGAATCAGCCAGTGGGAAGATCAGAATCACCCGTAGCCTGCTGACAGATGGCCTCCTGTTCACGTCCTATACAGTAAGTAGCTGCACACGCTGTTCAGGCGCCTGTCAATCCCATTCGACCGCTTACCCGCTGTAATGATAATCGGAATGTTCTTTCTAAAAAACGACTGGGTTTTGTTTTTCAGTTGAGAGTGGTCGCCTTTGACACGGCCTATCCAACAACGAGAGCCACAAGTGATGTGACGATCGTTGTTATTCGAAATGAAAACGGGCCTATTTTTCTCCCATCCGCGACATACGAAACACAGGTGTCAGAAGATGTCGTCATTGGAACTAACGTCATCCAAATCACCGCAGTCGATCAAGACGCAGGGGTAAGTCGAAGGGTATTGCCCCACAAGGGATCAGTAAACTAAACAGCGTTACATAGACATCATGATACTGTTTCGAAGACCGATATTATTCACCTGCCTTTGTTGCTCATGTTATCTATGTTGACGTTTTAGGACGTTGTGACGTACCAGTTGGTGAACGCCACATCTAGTGGAGCTCAGTACTTCTTCCTTGACCGCGATGCCGGCATCATCAGCACCAAGAAAACCCTCAGTGAAGCAACCTCTGACCTATACACTGTAAGTACTCAACCTTAGTATTGACATTCCATTTGACCATTCGAAATACCCGACCCGAATCTAGGAATGTATCTAGGAATATACATAACACATCAACTATTTCTCGCCAACAGATCAACCTCAAGGCAGAAGACAACCGAGGTCGATTTGCTCAAGCATCAGTTCGGATCATAATAGTCCGTGTTACAGACAACCCGCCTGTCTTCCTTAGCACACCATACAGAGCTACCATTGACATCAACAGGCCCCTCAATTCATCTGTCATCAATGTGCGGGCAGTCGACCCAGACTTCGACGTAAGTAGACCACCTGACCTTTTCATCTTTAAGGGCCTTTTTCAACATGCTTTCGCTAGAACTGTAAAATTCACAACGTAAATACATTTGTCAATGTGACTTTTAACCTTTCACTTTTGTTTTTCAGAATGAGATCCGGTATGACCTAGTCGGCTACTTCCCTGGGACCGAATATTTCACCTTGAACCCGAATAGTGGGGAGATAACTCTGAAGAACAACTTTGGGATTGATACATACAAGACCCTTCTCTACGTGGTAAGTGTTTGTAGTGAGCGACGATCAAAGATGGTTTTATTGAACCAAAAACATTATGTTTTGTATCCATTCAATATTAACGTGTGGACAATATTAAAGAAGTTATGCACACACATCCTCTGTATCTAACTGGGACGATTTGTTTCTAGCTACGAGTAGAGGCTTATGAAGTCTTGCGTCCTGAAATCCGTGTCGCCGAGGACGTGTTGATCGACATCATCCGCAACCCCAACCCCCCCATCTTTCGCAGAGGCTTGTACGCTGTGACCATCCCCGAGTCAACAGCCCAGGGAGCGAGTGTCATACAGATCAACGCTACTGATGCGGACGGGGTAAGTTCCCAGAAATATCACCCAAACTCTCAACTCGTTCAGTGAAAAGGTTCGGTTTACAGTAAGCTACAGTAATGACAACGATGTAGTAAATGAACTTTGTCTTTCTTCAGGACATCCCGATGTACCAGATTATACAGTCCACCGCCACTGGTCAAGACGCAGCTCAGTTCTTCTTCTTGAGTGCCTCAACAGGCGTCATCAGTGTTCGAAAACCACTCACAGAAAGCAACACTCGACAGTACACAGTAAGTGACTACTATTATTCAAGTCCGAAAACTTGTATGTACAAATTACTAACTAAAACTCACTTACTCACAGTGTGGGTACATGAAAGGAACATGTTATAAGCATGTTTAATTACGTAATGATTTTAATTACAGTTCACTGTGCAAGTCCGCGACCAAGCCTTCCCTGAGCTCTTCAGCACAACCACCGTCCAGATCACCATAGAGAGAGATCAGTTCACACCCCTCTTCACTCAGACGAACTATGTCATCGCTATCACTGAGAATACTGATGTCAACTCCACGCAGCCTCTTCTTGTGGTACAGGCAGTTGACAACGACAGAAGGGTAAGAGCTATATACATGATAATGACTTCAACTTCAGTAAAACATAATACCGATATCATACTTATAATAGAGCCGAACAAAATTTCAAATTATATTTGAAATAAGATTTTAAATATGATGCAATTTCAAATATGAGATGAGACCTTGTTTTAACCATTAACTAAACCTTAATGCTTTATTGCAGGAATCTATTGTGTATGAAGCGATCGGAGATGGGTCAGCTCTGGCTTTCTTCAGAATCGACTCAGCCTCTGGCGCAATATTTGTCAAAACACCACTTATCCAGGACAGCCTTGTTCAATATACAGTAAGTAAACGGGTAGAGCAATTCATATAACCACCGGAAAATAAAACCAACACAATAATAGACTTCTAAATGAGACCAAATGTGACCATTGGTTATGAAAACATATTTTCATTGTTATTTCCAGCTTCGTGTACAAGCCTTTGACACGTTCTATCCAACCAACATCGGCTATTCCACCGTTAGCATCAACGTCGTGCGTAACCCCAGCGGCCCCATCTTCAGCACCAACGAGTATGCCAAGTCATTGCTGGAATATACTCCTGTAGGATCCAAGATCATCACCGTCACTGCAACTGATGCTGATGGGGTAAGTCGATGTTACCATTGATACAATACACGGCAATAATTTCGTAGTCTTATTGCAGATTAAGTTCATGCTTCCATGTAAAGTGTGAATTTATGTAAATGAAGCAAGTTGCCAATGTGACAATTCCTGTTCCAGGATGCCCCAGTCTATTCTATTGTGGGAAGTACTGAGGCCATGCAGTATTACTACATCTCGCCCAGGTCAGGGGACATCTTCCTTAAGAAAGCCCTCCATGAAAACCCAAGTAACCAATACCAGGTAGGTACCATGTTCTCAAAAGGTCTCAGTCAACTTAAAATGCAAAGACGTTGTTGTGTCATACGTCCAAGAAGACAACGTCTTCACTTCCACCTCTTTCAGTATAATAACCCTTCGGTAAAATGTGATCTTTATTTGCCCTTTTGCAGATCTCCGTGCAAGCCTCGGACCAGCGTAATCCCGTCAGATTAACCAATGCAACAGTTTTTGTGAACGTTGTAAGAAGCCAGCCTCCTCGCTTTGTCCAAGGACCCTACTCCTTCAGTACTTCAGAGAAAACAGCGATTGGCTCGTCAGTCTACAGTGTCAGTGCCATCGACTCTGACCAACAGGTATACATTGTTTCCTGGTTCCTCTGATAACGGTAAACCGGCTTTATGTGTAACGTAGTTTCAACAATTAAGCATGTGACTCCCCAGAAACCGAAAATTAACACAGACTTTCGATTTCAGGGCACCGTCATGTACGACATTCTCGGTGATGCCCCGGCGCCAAGCTACTTCGCCATCAACTCAACTACGGGTGTTGTGACAGTCCGCTCCAACCTACTGCTAGATACGAACCAGAACTATGTCCTCCGTGTCAAGGCGCATGACTCAGCGTTCATGTCTCAGTCAGCGACAGCCATCATCACCATCTTCATCGCAAGGAACGACAACCCACCTATCTTCATCAGGGAACCATATGCTATCGAGCTGCCGGAAGAGTTCCCTCTAGGACAACGAATTTTCAACGTAACTGCGGAGGATGCAGATAACGTAAGTGTACTTAATTGATAAAATCGGTAAACAAAGAGTTTCGAATATTTACTCGTTTACATTGAAGAGGACTTGGTGCTTTATATTAATTTTTCTTTCAGGACAAGATCCGTTACAGCATGTTAAACTCCAACCTCATCGACTACTTCTACCTCAACCCAGACACTGGCGTCATCTTCCTGACGAAGAGTCTTGAATCAGCAGCCCAAAGCAGCTTTTTGGTAGGCTCTAATTCCATCTGAGGAAATAATACCGCCTTTTTAAATTAATAGATGAAATGAATATTTGTGATTTATATACATATTCTAATTTTATTTTCTCCTTATTTAGTTGTTGGTACGGGCAAGTGACAGCCGTATCCCTCAACGTAGCAACGATGCGACGGTGACAATTACTGTCAGAAGGAACCAGTTCATACCCCAGTTTGTTGGTCTTCCCTACACCGTCACCATTGCCGAGACGCGCCCTGTCAACGACACCATCCTCTCTGTAGCCGCCGTCGACAACGACCAAAGGGTATGCTTCTTAGTTTCCATGAAACATTTACTCAGAAACATATTTAATTAATTGATAAAGAGTTTTTTTTTTTTTGTTCAAACAAAAATATTAAATATTTGTGTATTTGTTATAGGGCACCCTTGTATACGAGGCTGTAGGATTCTACCCAGCACAGAGCTTTTTCGGTGTTAACAACGCGACCGGCCATATCACCATACTACAATCGTTGAAAAATGATGGCCTCGCTCGCACAGAATACACGGTAAGTACTTTTCGTAGACACAAGGTAAATCAATCTGATAGACATATGTTACCCTCCATGCATGAAAAGACCGATTTATTTAAACGATTATTCTCACAAATTGTTTTTTTTTTAAATTTCAGCTCCGAGTGGTTGTTTACGATAACATGGTCCCTGCTCAAAGACTTTCAGCAGATGTCTTGGTGTCCGTCGGACGCAATCTGAACGCACCAACCTTAACTCAGACCCGATATTCTCAGACTGTCGACGAAGATTACCCTCTCGGGGTCCCAGTTCTCAACGTGACTGCTTCGGACCTTGATAGGGTAAGTGCACCGAAGCATCTTGGAAGAAAAAACCAGCATTAAAAACTACGAATTCTTCTAACAAGATTGTCTTTAAATGTTTAATGACACTATTAACGATTTTTTCAGGACACCATCTCCTATGACATCGTGGCTGATAACAGCAGGGGATCTGCACTTTCGTTTTTCTTCATTGAGCGACCAACTGGGGCTATTTTCCTTAGACAACCACTATCTGCATCAAATGCTAATACGTTTTCGGTAAGTAATCTAATTGGATGTTTTAGTGGAAAGTAGGAATAGGAATTTTGGCTTGAAAGAAGTCTGAAGTTTAACAGTTTGACATTTTCGTAAATGTACTGACAACTTTTGTTTTTCTTTTCAAGAACTTTTTTGTTGTATGTTTTCGTTTGAACAAATGCACGTTTTTGTGGTTGCAATATGCTCTAAAAGTGGTCAAAAATTATTAAAAAGAAAACGTTGTTTTCAAAGGTATTTTATTACTTAACAAAACATGTGTGCTGTCTCGAACTAAAAATGATTTTTAATCTCAATTATTTTTATTTAAAATTATTTTTTCCCAAACTCTTTAGATATGTGAAAATATATCATTATGAGGAACCCGATACACATCTGATTATAAATAAAAAAGGAACACATGCACAGACTGAATCTAAAGCCGATGTTTATCCGTGCCACATTCTCACTTGCAGATGACGGTCCGAGCCACAGACAGTGGTCGACCAAGTCGTGAGGCGAGGGCGGAGGTTATCGTGTATGTACGAAGGGATGAGTTTGCCCCTCGGTTCGAGAAATCCCCATACGTTGTTGTCATCCCCGAGACCGCCGCCAACGCCTCGGCAATATTCACCGTCACCGCCACCGACCAGGACAGACAGGTAGGTCATACATTTAGTCTGAACTTGTTTAAGATTGCGAATTCACCAAGTTTAAAAGGGGAGGCAAGTTTCGACACTCGCTATTTCTTCAATTGTAAATAACTCTTATTCTTGCTTTAACTAAGCAATTTTCTTACTTGTATAACATGGTGACCTGATCCTACTTTTTGTACCTTCTCAGGGCTCAATCCAGTACAGTGTGATGGGAGTTCCGCCAGCACCAACCTTCTTCACTGTTACATCAAGTGGCAATATCGTCGTGAGAGGCGACCTCCGAAATGACCGCGCTATGAACTATGTCGTAAGTATATCACAAAAATAACAAGCAATTTCCAACGAATGGGCGTCCGTGGAAAAGGTTTCACTCCTCTTTTAGCAATAGGCGGTGAATACCAGAAATTTGTTTCCCGTGTGGGAAATCCAACCCGTCTTGATGAGCGAACACTTTAACATTTGGCCATCCCTCCACCCATCTAACGAATGGGTATGACGTTATAGCATGACATATCCTTGATCCATTTAACGCAATGGTAACAGATAGTTTATTCTTGGTATTTAATTGGCATCATTTGATGTTTTATAGCTGCGTGTTCGAGCTGTCGACAGCGCCAATCCTAGCCTGTACACCGAGGAGGATGTGAAGATTTCTATACTGAGGAACGTCAACCGCCCTAGCTTCCAACAACAGTCCTACTCCACACGGATCTCCGAGACAACGCTCATTGGGACATCACTGTTGAATGTCGTCGCTAACGACGCCGACAGTGTAAGTAGTGTTACAAAACAAGCTAGCGTCAGTTCATGAATTGGTACATGCATTGTCCAGAAATATAATCGTTGATCATATAGAAAACACAAATTATGAATCAAACATTCATATTTCATTTCTTTGTTTCAGGATCGTCTTACTTACGATATAAGCGGCGACGAGCGATGCGTCACCGTGTTTTATATTGGAGCAGATAATGGATTCATGTACCTACGGCAGTCAGTTGTGGACACGGCTGATAGTTCATTTACAGTAAGTCTTTCATAAGTCATTAACACAGAATGAGACCCAGAAGATCCTGGTGGAGAATAGGTCTTCAGCAACCCATGTTTACCGTAACAGGCGACAATGCTTGTCGTAAGAGGCCACTAACGGGATCGAATGGTCAGGCTCGCTGACTTGGTTGATGTATGTCATCGTATCCCAATTGCGTCGATCGATGCTCATGATGTCAATCACTGGATTTTGTAGTCCAGACTCGATTATAAACACAGACCGCCGTCATATAGCTTGATTATTGCTGAGTGCGGCGTTAAGCAAACAAACAAATCACAAACAAATATACAGAATGACCGCATTAAAATCTATGAGATTCCATGAACCAAAACACTCCACCTAGTTTTGAGTTATCTCTAAATCCTGTCATGTATTATTTCAGTGTACCGTATCCGTCTCTGACAATGGCTACCCCACTGCCAACACTGCAACAACAACAGTCTTCATCGGCATCGACCGCGACACCGTCCTACCTGTCTTCTCAGACAATGGTAGATACGCCATCAACATCAACGAGAACATCGCCGTCGACAGCTTCATCACCTCCGTGCAAGCGACAAGACAGAACCTGGCTGTATGTTTTTGTCTAAGAATATATCAACATCATTTCAGAAAATGTCTGTAAAATATTAATTAGGGTCTGACATCGCTGCCGTCATTATAAATATATTATTTGGAACGTTATTTTTCAACGGAATATCTACACTGTTTCCAGGGTCGGATGTATTATGAAATTATCGGCAACTACCCTGCTCCAAGCTTCTTCAAGGTTCAAAATATGACCGGGGAAATCACTGTTGAGGAAAACCTCCGCAATGACAATCTCCGCCTTGGGTCCTACACGGTATGTATTGATCTAAAAATATATTAAAACGCCTACTGAAATTGTTTCAGCCTGGTAGATTATACCTGACTCAGATCTCGACCATGTTTGACACTGTATGTTTATTCATCCCAGTTGCGAATCCGTGCCTATGACACAAGCGTGCCGCACCTAGCTGCCATTGCCGAAATGTACATAACGGTACTGAGGAATCTCAACGGGCCCGTGTTCAGTCCCTCCACGTACAGCGTCACCCTCAGGGAAGATGTGGAGGTGGGGACCTACATCCAGAAACTCAACGTATCGGATCCCGACGGCGTAAGTAGACCTTATTTCAATGTCTTGGTCAAGTTCTTATAAGAGACTACACAATAATATTTTAAGAGCATTCTGTTTGCTGATAACTAATCCAAAACTTTTCTCCCTTCAGGTTCAGCTAAGTTGTTCTGTGGACGCACAGGCCTTTTTCGCCATCGACGCAAGCACCTGCTTACTACGAGTTTCCCAAGCTCTTTCGGGCGATCTTAGCAAGGCTACTGAATACACCGTAAGTATAGTATGAGGTTGAAGCATACAGAGTATCGGCAGTGATTTGTTTTAGCTCTTCCACTTCTTTCACACAAACGTCCGTATATTTTCCAATTATTATTAATTATTATTATTTTTATTATTATTATCATTATTATTATTATTATTTCATCAGATTTTCGTGACTGCTACTGAGATGACAACCAGCAACCGCCAGTTCGCCACGGCAAGCGTGCAAGTGACAGTCCTCCGTGACCTGTACCCCCCTCAGTTCAACAACCTCCCCGCCACCATAGACGTGAACGAGGATCTCGCTGTCAACGGGACCATCTTCACCGCAGACGCCTACGACAGGGACATCCAAGGAACCATGAAGTATGAGCTTATAGGGGTCTTCCCAGCCAAGAGCTTCTTCGAGATCGACCCTTCTTCTGGTGCCATCGTCCTCAGGAACAGTCTGCTCTCAGACACGCTTGGCCGCACAGCGTACACGGTAAGTCCCTGTCCTATACCCAGCACGGAAATTTTCAACAGGTTGCCAGAGACAATTTCTCGTACAACAGAACAGGTAATGACGTCTGATGTTATATTTATTGATTCATTTCTTTAATTTAGGCCCGGGTACAGATTTACGACACCGCACGACCGGACAATCGCACCCAGGCAGATCTCAGCATAAGGGTCGTGAGGAACTCCAATGGTCCCATCTTCTCTTCAACAAGATACGAAGCATCCGTGGCAGAGAACTTCCCCTTGTATCAGTCCCTGGTCCAGGTCGGCGCTAGTGATGCTGACGGGGTAAGACTTCAAGTGCTATTCGCCATGGTGTTATTAATTAAAATCAAAGAAGAATATTCATCCATCTTCATGGTCAACCATTTTTTAAATGACAAACATTTACTATTTAGCTAGAATTCTTTTAATGACAAACGTTCTGATGTATAATTGTTATGATTTCCAGGACAAGCTTACATACACCCATCTTGGCACTGCTGAGGAACAGAAACTGTTCTATCTGAATCCAGACAGTGGGGTTATCTCCCTTGGCTCATCTCTTCAAACCACCACCAAGAATCAATTTGTGGTACGTTTATACCCCCATCTATTAGCACGTCAGAAACCTTAAATGTTACAAATAATATTTACTAAATTAAATGTGATAAGTGGTATTTGGATTTTACCTAAAACTGACAAATCACATTAACTTAATCTGAGTTCCATTATGACTAAGTGGAACAAAATTTAGGTAAAGAAAATACAGCTAGGATCAACTTAATCTGATTTTCTTTACATTTCTAGTTCGAAGTAGAGGCCTCAGACAATCGTGTGTCCAGCATTGCCAGAGTGAACAGTGTCACCGTGGCTATTACTGTACAAAGAGACAGTGGTCCCCCACGGTTCCTCAACGCCCCATACGTCTTGGACGTCCCCATCCGACAGCCGGTCAACTCTAGCGTGGTCATCGTCATCGCTCGGGACCCTGACGCCAAGGGTCTGATGAGGTACCGACTGGACGGTATCGACCCCGGCACTCAATACTTCTCCATCAGTGAGATCACTGGCAACATCATGGTCAAGCAAGAGTTGACTCTCAACACCGATGTCTATGCTAAATATACGGTGAGCTGCATATCTTACGATAACAAATATCCTTTGCAGCTGAATTTTCGGTATTTTAACAGTTATGATGTCAAACATCTAGTAATCAAAGTCACGATTCATTATAAATCAATAAAAAAAATTATAAATCGTTACTATAGCAATTTTTTAACTTTGTTTAATTGTATTTTTGTATTTTCACAGCTATTGGTATCGGCATATGACACCAGCAGCCCCGAGATTGTCATAACAGAGCCAGTTCAGATTAGAGTATTAAGGAACCTGTATTCCCCAGTGTTTGTGAACAAGTCATACACGCAAACTATCTACGACTTCAAGCCTGTGGGATCAAACGTGCTGCAAGTCACTGCCATTGATGATGACATAACGGTAAGACAACCTTTGAAAACATATCTCGGCCAATATCTAAATGCAATATAACTTACTTAACATAGGGAACCGTCAGCGTAATTCCTAATGAAATTATACACCCATTCGTTTTGCCATGGATGATGTAATCCGTCATAAGTTTGCCTAGTTTTGATGTTCTTGTATTGTGTTTATTCAGGCTCCGGAAAATACCTTCACATATGATATAGACAACAATTCGCCAGCCAACGAGTTCTTCTCAGTTGATCCTTTCAGTGGTATTATAAGAATCACAAAGGAACTGTCACAGAGCACCGCCTCTTCCTATTTGGTAAGTAGAATTTAATTCTGATAAAAAATACTGTATAATTTTTTGTCATAAGATTCAATCATACGCACATTTTTTGTTGGTGCCTAGTATTCATACTGAAATATTTCTATAAGGCACACCGACCCGATTTAGCGAATCCCCACTCTGGATTTTTGTTGGGAGAACAAGCAGTTTAAAAGAATGCACGTTGACACTTTGTATTTTTCTTTACAGTTTAATGTGATTGCTCGTGATCTGGGCGCCTACAGTCGATCTGATACGGCTACTGCTACAGTTATTATCCAGCGAAACAGTGGACGTCCAGTGTTCATTGACCCCGGTCAGTACGACGTCACCGTGTCCGAGACCATGTCCGTGCTGTCACCTATCCTACAGGTGGCAGCTGTGGACAGCGACTCTGCTGACACGCCCAATGGCCAGATCGTCTACACACTCATCGGTCCATCGGGGGCTCAGCGATTGTTTGAGGTTGACATGATGACTGGGAATGTCACTGCTAGGGTCTCCCTCACTACAGCTGCCAATGATACCTACAGGGTAAGAAAATATCGCGATGGATTACAACGACAAAGGATTTTATCAATCTTCAAAATAGTAAAAAATATTGTTTAAATTTGACATATATATTTTTAAATTGATGTTCTAACGGAGTCGGGGCGGTCGGGTAGCCTAGTGGTTAAAGCGTTCGCTCGTCACGCCGAAAACCCGGGTTCGATTTCCGACGTAGTACAATGTGTGAAACCCATTTCTGATGTCCCCCGCCGTGATGTTGCTGGAATATTGCTAAAAGCTGCGTAAAGCCATACTCACTCACTCACTCTAACGGAGTCTATTTTTTCCCATTACAGCTCACTGTTCGTGCCAGCGATCGAGGCACACCAACTCAGAGCTCAGAGGTAACCGTGGTCATCCGAATCCGTCGCGAAGGAACCCCGTTCTTCCAACAAGCAGAGTACATCGTCAGTCTGACTGAAAACACGGCCGTAGACACCACCGTGATTGACTTGAACGCCACAGACCCCCTTGACGTAAGTTGTTAATGCCCTGCTCCAACACCAATTTACAACAGACATGACTTAATACAGAAATGCTATTTCCCGACATCCATACGTAAACTATCAGATACTATAAGAACTGTTACGATTCATATTGATATTGTCTATTTCAGAATAAGTTGATCTATGAGATCAATGGTGATGGAATGGCATCTACATTATTCCGCATCAATCCAGAAACTGGTCTACTGAGCGTGGCCCAGCCGTTCAAGACAGACACTCAAGAGTCGTATGTTATTCGTGTGCGTGCCTACAGACAGACGGACGCTGCTATCTTCGCCACAGTGATTGTGAGAGTGGTCATTACAAGAAACACCAATGCCCCACGGTTCCTCCATAATGACCTAGTGTTTAATGTGGCGGAGAACTATCCTCTGGGCGTTTCATTGGGTCGACTGAATGCTACTGATAAGGATACCGTAAGTACATGGCTGCACATTCATCCACTTCTCTCTGGTATTTGTCTAATTAGAAATTGAATACATTTAATTAATTTTATTTTGAAAATTAGAAAAAAATATCGGAAAAAAATTAAACAACTTATTTTAGTTATTTGATCGTTTATTTCAGGGTAATAATGGTAGAATAACGTACACCATCGACGCCCAGAACTCCATACCGCTGTACGTGCGCGACTTCTTCTACGTTAGCCCCACAACAGGTGCTCTGTCGGTAACAAAGAGCCTCCAAGAGGACGACAACCAACCCCTGAGTTATATTCTCAGTATCCTGGCAACAGACAATGGCTTCCCAACTAAATTCGCAGCGGTTCAGGTGGCAATTAACGTTGTGAGGAATCGGAATGGTCCTACTTTCTCCGATGACGTGTATCAGATTAATATCGATGAGAATGTTTCTCTCGGAACCAGCCTCCTCCAAGTACAGGCACCAGATGCTGATGGTGTAAGTGTGATAATTCATCATCATCAGATGCAGTTTTCTCTCTTCTTCATCATCATCAGATTAAAATTAACTGGTTTTCAATCATAGTTATCAAGTTCAAAACATTTAACTGTTTTTGTATCGGTTGAGGCACTGAATATATTTCACCTAAACAGTGCTTAAAAGCATTTAATTCAATATGTGCATCATTGTCAATTTCCCTTTCAAAGTGTTTTGTCAAACGTGTTTTATAGATGTTGCTGACACGTCTAATGTCATGATGTTTCAATTGCAGGACCGAGTGACGTATACTCTTCTGTCAGCAATGCCCACTTCCCTGTACTTTAACGTCGACGAGAGTACAGGCGTGCTCAGTGTTGCCGCCTCTTTCCTGATTGACAACACAGCTAAATACATCGTAAGTTTCGCTATCAAATCGTAAAACAGAACTAAAAACCCTTTTCCAGAAATCAAACTCGATATCTGATTGCGACATGTTTGTGAGAGCCAAATATGATTGTGGGTTGTCATCGACAGAAACTACTTCCAACTATTGACAGATGTTGGAATGTCATGGTGTAATTAACTTTTGGGAATTATCTTTCATATTAAAAGTGAGAAATAACCACAAACAAATTATATTCCAGATGACAGTGAGCGCCCACGACTACCCAGGTGAAGGCGCCCTGCCCCGCAGCAGTGAGGCTACAGTGATCGTCAACGTGCGACGCAATCCTAACACCCCTTTGTTTATCCAGTCATCGTACAACATCACCATCTCCGAGTACACGGCAGTGCAGGCTGTCATAGCAACTATCAGGGCTACAGATGCTGATCCCGGTGACGTGAGTTGGCTTTGATCGTTATAAGGATTAGTATTAAATCATTGTAACAACAACTATGTCACGAAACAAATTGATAGTCTTTTGTCTTCTCTTCAGTTTAATATAATTCATCTAACGAGAAGAAGAAGAAGAAGAAGAAGAAGAACAAGAACAACAACAACAACAACAACAAATAAATAAATAAATAAATAAATAAATAAATAAATAAATAAATAAATAAATAATATTCTGCAAATAATAATGATAATAATTTTGTCTTCCAGACGCCTAGCGGCCAGCTAGTGTACAGAATCACCAGCGTTACGTTCCCCGGCTTCCAGAGCAACACCCTCCCAAATAACTACGACTTCTTCATCATCAGCCCCACCTCAGCTGACATATACCTGGCCCAGACTCTCAGCAAATACGGTGTCCCAGACACGTTCTATGTAAGTGGCATCCTAACGTGGAAATATGTCCAAAATGGCAGCAAATTGAAAATACAGCTTCCACATCAGATACGATGTTAAAGACTGCAGCGATATCATTCCGTTTCACACAAACATAAATAATAAATAATAATCTCTTCTCTCCAGATTACTATTGAAGCTGCCGACAGAGCCTTGCCGCCTAAGACCTCTACAGCTCAGCTCGAGGTCCACATTCTCCGCAACATAAACACCCCTCTCTTCACGTCCACAAGCTATAGTGCCAGTATTGAGGATACTTCGGTGGTTGGGAGATCTCTGTTCACCGTCACCGCTGTTGATGCTGATAAGGATGTACCTCTTAATCAAAATGTGAGTTCATTTTATTATTGATACATTTATAACGTCTGCAATTCATTGTGAGATGTTAAACAATTCATATCATGTCCCAGTAAATAATGAGTGGATTGATTTTTAAAGACATATAAAATGTCACTGAATGTTCAAACAGATAATCCAATTTTCTACATTTCAGACCCCCAACGCAAAATTCGATTACATTGTTGACCCTGTATACACCGAAGCCGTCCGGTACTTCGACGTCACTTCCGACGGCATCGTGAACATCAGGAACCCCCTCATATCTGTCGATGTTACATCGTTCTTCGTAAGTATAAAACCTGACTCGGGGATATCTTAAGTTGGCGTGAACTCAATTATCAAAGGGGTTAGACATTATTTTAAATGAATCTTATTCCTAAAAAGAATCTTATTGCCATCGTTCTTGTGATTTTTATTTCATACGGATATTGAGGATGTTTTTTTCCTTTTCAGTTTTACATTATTGCTATTGACAAGAGTTGGCGTCCTCTGAGTAGCCGAGTCCCAGCTCGCGTAAACGTCACCCGCATCAGCACCGGACCCAGGATCCTCGGCTTTACTGCCCCTATTCATTAGTAAGTCTCTTTAAGGGCCCTTCATTATTCAATTGATGTCATAAAGCTCAACTCGGGTTTTATTGGTGTCAAGTCAATATACTCAAAATGTAAATCCTTCCTTTTCAAATGATCCCATTAAAATTTTCATTTAACTTTTATTTGCTAGTTCGTTTTTGTCGAATGTCTTATCAAAGAGCAAAGAGAATAAAATTCGGATTGTTAATGGTTAATAACTTCTGTTTTATCTGTTTCAGCGTTGTGATACCAGAGAACTCGGATGGGGATGGCAACCGCGTCAAATCATTGATAGTACTGGACACAGAGAATCAAGACATTGATCTCAACGTGGAGTGTCGCATCGTCACCATTAACGGGAATGCTGAATTTGGAGGAAGTAAGTGTTAAAAGACTTCAGTAGTGAGTGCGTCAGTATGGTTTTATGCCGCCTTTAGCATTATTCAAGCAATTGGGCTTCACACATTGTACCCATGTTGGGAATCGAACCCGGGTCTCAGGCGTGACGAGCGAACCCATTAACCACCAGACTACCCGGCCGCCCCAAAAGACTTCAGTAACACCATTCCAGAAACTTATCACAGAAAAACAGAAGCTTTGAGACATAATAATGAATGATCAATTTAGTGAAAGTTTTATTACTACTTAGTTATATATTATATTATTCTCTGTTTTCCCATTGTTACATATTAAATTATTCTCTGTTTTCCCATTGTAGCTATATTCAGTGTTCGCACAACCCGAGACGGGAAGAACTGCGAGTTATACATGATTGGGAACTTGGACCGAGAGCAGGGAGGCCTTTACAACATTACCGTGGGAGTACGTCACCAGTCCACCATAAGCAAACGATCGATCAACAACGCAGGTACGTCAGCACATACGTCTTCCTCAATTGTATTATGGCACCACCTTTCTCCCATAGTTGTCTAACTAAAATTAAATTAAATTAAAACTCGATTAATACAACTCAATTTAACAGTTTCCTAGTTGAAGTCCCCTTTAATTGATGTTCTGTTATTTATTGCAGTCTACAACACATGGGAGTACACCAACATATTGGTGTCGGTGACGGACGTCAATGACAACGCTCCATCCTTCCACTTTCCCGTGTATCCCGTCGCTAGCCTGCAGGCGTACGTGACGGCTATAAGTATAGCCGCTCCCCCCAACAGCAGAGTCACACAAGTGCAGGTATGTTTCACGCACCACTGTATCTATAACATAGGAACTTTGGTAAGCCGGAAAATCCTTTCTTTTAGTTCTTTTGATATTCTATTTAAAGATAATATAAGTAATGTGTTTCTATAGTACCTTTTTTTAATCAAATGTATGTTTTTCTAAACCAAAATTTTCTGAATCCCGTCTTTGTTTTCGGTATGGTTTAGATATTTATAATAAATCATAATGACCACATGTCCAAAATAGTAACGCACTGCTTTCCTCACCAGGCCTCTGATCCAGACTTGGGTACGAACGGGATGGTGTCCTATTCACTTGGTCCTGTCCCAGGGCTGTTTAATGAGGTGCCATTCTACATCAACTATGGCGGGGAAATCTATACCACAAAGGACTTCTCCCACGAAGAGGCTTTCCCCCGCCAGTTTGTGTTCAAGGTCACGGCTAAGGACAACGCCATGACGTCAGAACCGCTACAGTCGGAATCAAACGTTTACGTAAGTAAACACATTGGGTTATTAAGATAGCGTTTTATAGTGTTGTTGTCTTGACAACCATCGCTATGTCCATTATATCACATTCCATAATGTAAATAATCTTCAAAATTAATGCTTTGAATTCAAAATCATTCTGTAAGCGAATATTTGGTATTCAGATGTCGGATATATAGTTGTTGTACAAGGCTGTATGTCTTAATGAATTAAGGCTATCTTTTACAGGTAAACCTCATTGAAGACAAGAACCGGTTTATTCTTGTGTTGACGAGCACCCCTCCGGAAAAGGTCATCCCAAGGATCGAGTTCTACAGACAAACACTTCAAAATGTCACTGGACGTATTATTATTATCGAGAAAATCCAAGGCCGCCTGTTTACAGCAGTAGGGGCCAGCCTATTGGACCTGGACATCACTGGGTAGGATGATACTCCTCTCTTCCGTCTCCTCTTGTTTGTTTCCAAAGGGAAAGATCAATATAACTAGTTATCAAATAAGCAGTAACACATGCATCTTACCTTGACTTATTCAAAGATGTACGAGTGTCTAATCAGGTCATTGTTGTTTTCAGAACGGATATCACATTCGTAGTAGTCAACGGCGACAGTTTCCGTCTTGAAGAAAACACTGATATGGACATGTGAGTATTACATTTCTTGCGATAGTGAGTGAGTTGGATTTAACGCCGCTTTTAACAGTATTCCAGTGATATCGCGGCGTGTCAGCTTAATGTGGGAGGAAAACCCGAAGTGATGCAGGTCTCAGACGTTTACCACGAGTACGGGTATGGTGCTGACAGACCTAGAAACATAATCAGGGCGAACTGGGATTCGAACCCACAATCATGGGTTTCTGGCATGCCCAAGGGACGCAACTCTGCACAGCGAATCGCGGCGCCTTAGACGACTGGGCCACCCGTGCCCCCTTCTTGTGATAGCCATTCGTAAGCACATGCTGATGGTTTAGTCGAAGTCGTACCATAGTCTCTGCTTTTTTAATTATTTTTTTTATGATTAAGCAAAGGGTTGTGTCGCTTATGTTTACAGGGTATTCTATTTCGAGGCATATTTTCATTAAATATGAACTATTTCCTCCTAACACAAAGCGGAACTGGCACTACAAGTAATATATATTGAGGGCAATTAACATTCATTGTGAATAGAAATGTGCGGTGGGGGCACATGTTCACAATCAACGCACAATTGACAACATTATTATTCATTTACAGCATTACATCGGAAAGCGATCAATCCAAGGCCATCTTGTCACGTGTGAAACAATCTGCTCTACGGATAGGCAGCTTCGTCTCCATGATCCGCAAACCATACGAAGCTAACATGATGTCGCGCAGTTCGGCATTTTTAGGCGGTGGTGCGATACAGGTTACCAAGTCCTACGTATGGTGGATGAACGACCCCTGGGCAGCGTTTGTGGCTCTCGCCGGCATCATCATCGTCCTCAGCATCGTTGGAATCATCATTCTGCTTAATCTATGGTCAAGGTTAGTAAAGAACACAACACAGAATACACTTTTATAGTCTAACAATGTGATCTACGAACATTTACGGTGATGTGTATATTTTAAACAAACGAATCACTGAATATATTCTGGGGCGGTGGGGTAGCCCAGTGGTTAAAGCGTTCGCTCGTCACGCCAAAGACCCGGCCAAATTCCCCATATGGGTACAATGTGTGAAGCACATTTCTGGTGTCCCCCGCCGTGATATTGCTGGAATATTGCTAAAAGCGGTGTAAAACAATACTCACTCACTGAATATATTCTGATGTTTTCACAGACTGTGTGTGTCTCCAAATATGTCGAAACAGATGTATTATGAATATTTGAAGAATAGTTTACAGTAATGTTTCTATCTGTCCAGGTACACCAACTATTTGCATCGGGTCAGGATCTACCACACCAACTTCACCAACCCCGATTTCACAGAACCACCCAGCTTCCTCAGAGAATATGAAACCCAGGTAAATGGATAACACTTACATATTCAAATTACAACTACTATTAACTATTTACAGCACATGCAGCGAATGTGTATGATTCATTAACACATGCTCAGAATCGTACGACCCACTCTGCTGTAAGCAGAGATATCTTATGACTATGAAAGGGTTTTGTCGCTTTCACGTATTTGAAATATCACCTGTCGTTCGTTGTTGGCAGTATTTTATAAAGAATGGAATTGAATGCAAATGAGAGCAACATTACTATTTATGTATATACTATTTATGTATAAAATTGATTCAATTTCAGTAAAATTAACAAATTTGTTGGGAAGATTCATTATTGTGTCACACAAATGAATGATTGTAGCGTTACCATGGATACGTGTTGATCATGTACTTTATTCTTCCAACAGAGTCTCAACATGTATGTCCCCCCTGACGAGACGGTGCAGGAGCTTGGCGAGATTAACATGAACTTTGACGCAGACACCCCCCGACCTCCAGGCACACACGGAAGAGGTTCAACACGCAATCCTATTTACCAAAGGTGAAAAAACGTGAACCATTTGATTTATTAAAGGTTTGGTTCCCATCTGTGAACTGGGCGTGGGATTATTCTGTGTGTTTGTTTATTACCCCCCAAAAAGTTTGTGTATTTAAAAAACAAAATTTCGTCTTACGTTCGTAACATATATATAATATATCTGTTTTATGTTTCAGTCCCCGTGAACACCAAACTGGCTTCATAGAAGGAACTACCTTTTTGTAAAAGGAGACTGGCCTACTCGACTTGATGCACTTCACAGCTCGGAGACAACCCATATTATGAGTCCTCTAATCAAAGAAATGTGTTGTATGTTTTGCACATAAAAAAACATTGGTGTTGAAAACACAATAGTCGTAATCAGATGTATTGATGTACAAATCATATTTGTAGATATGTACAAATGTATATAAGATTGAAATATTACAAATGATATTGATGTATATAGAGGGGCATACTGTCTCGAGAGTTATTTTTTCCATTGCCAAATGAAATCCTTTTGTATATTTATACACATGTCTTTTTATACACCGCTATTTAATAAAAAAATCTTTAATATAAACATGCGTTGTGTTGATATTGATTAGGCGGATGTTATACTTTACTACGACATTAATAGGAACAGTCTCACAAAGGATAAAGATATCGTATTGCACTGGGCAACCTTTCAAGCAACATAACAGAGGCTTGGTGAATAGTCGAGTGGTTTATGGTATGCGCAACGATCCAGCCGACGGGGTGCGATGACATGAAACCGATCTTGTTGTCGCCTCTTTCGTTTTGTGTTTGTTTGTTAACGCCGCACTCAGCAATATTCCAGCGGCGCCCTGTAAACAATCGAATCTGGACAAGACAATCCAGTGATTGACATCATGAGCATCGATCCACGCAACTGGGATACGATGGCTTGCATCAACCAAGTCAGCAAGCCTGACCACCCGATCCCTTTAGTCGCCTTGCACGACAAGCAAAGTCGCCATTTAGGGCAAGCATGGGTTGCTGAAGACCTACTCTACCCCGGATCTTCACCGGTCTCTCTGATCTTTACGCGGACATAGATGTTTATTGTATCTATTCAATGCCAATATTAAACTCCAACGCCAGAGAACAACACAATTATATGAGTGGATTACTCAACATCAATTCAATTCAATTTCTTAATTAACTCAAACCACCAGCCTGTGGTATATAAGCAACATAATAACATACATATATACAAAAATACAATGTGATCAAATGTCAATAGTGGTTTATTTTTTAGTAAAGAGAGTATCATTTTTACAAATTGAGATATTCTTTTTAAGATTGTAAGTTCTCATATTTGACATCAAATGCTTAAAGGAAATAATGTTTGACCAGTTTTGATATCTATTATCAAGTAATGTTTTTCTTAGCTGGTCAGCGGAAGGTCCGGGGTTCGATCCCCGACCGTGTCATACCAAAAGACCTTAAAAGATGGTACTTGTTGTTACCCTGTCTGGCGCTCGGCATTAAAGGGCTAAAACAAGGACTGGTCGGCTCGGAGTCAGTATACTGTGTCTGAGTGGGGTATTCATGTTAAACTGCGGCATGGTATCTCAGTGAGCTAGCACTATAAATCGGCATCAGTCCGGACTAGTACAAGCAGCCACACAAACACACACACGTACATGCACGTCGCTATATAAGTGCAATAATCTTGGACGCGACGTTAAACCCCATTTCACCTTCACCCCTTTGCTGGTCAAAATATTCTCATCTAAAGAGGTAATGGAACTCGTCGGCTATGGCTGGGGAGGTACAAAGCTTACATGTGCGATATTCTCGTGGGATGCCCTCCCAACGGCCAGTCTCAATGACACCAGGTAATCGCGAAAAGGGGAGGCATGTCCTGTCCTACCGGCAGTAGCCGCCACTCATACAATTTGCATAAAATGTGTTTCTTGCCTGAGGCCTCTATTCACGCTTTGAAGCGTTGAGATAGATTACAAAACCTACAGCCTCTGGTCATATTTCTTTACATCTTCTTTAGCTATCTTAACAATTTCAACCATTTTATCCAAGTATCAATTATAGGAAAGTGCTGCAGAACGCGGAGTTGTCAGCTTATGATGTACATTCCACTACTTGTGGCTGCCGAGTATTATACTGCTATCAGCCTGATGGTCATATTGTCATGTATGACGTTTCTATTATTGACAACACCAATCTTCATCAGTTATCCAAATAAGGACCAAAATATCACGAGCAGACTCCAACCAATTGGGATCACAACTGAATATGGATGCTGTAGACGTATATGCCAATAAATGGACCAAACGAGAAGAACCTGTTGAATATCTTTCAGAGTGGGTTAAGCCAGTGCGTTTTGATGTCATTGGTAGAATGCACAAACTGTAAAAGAGAACACAGAATTGGAATAAACCCATTCTGTCCCAGCCAGCTGTCATCCAAAGTCTGGCTGTCCTACATGAAAAGTTTGTAGCTGTTCCCACTGACAAGGCCTCAAATAACATAACCATTATATGTCAGCATCACTACATTGATTGTTTGATCAAAACACTTGGTATTAGTGACATATCAAATAATGCCACATACGATCTTTAAAAAAAGAAACGCACAGGTTGTATGTAGTTCATTGAACCTGACTACACACAAAATCCGGTATATAAACTGGATATATGTTATTGGAAAATTTTGATGGCCTGATATTCGACAAACGGTGCGTCAAAACGCAGCCATTGTCGATTTGCAATGTCTTAAACGGCATTGTTTTCACACTTGTTCAAAAATGTCACGGAGGATTACAGTGAAGCAAAATGCACGTGCACGTTATGACATTCGTAACTCGTGGTAGTGGCTATAAAAAGGCAAGCATAAGCTAATAATTTGTCATTTAATTGTCAATATTTTTCAAGTTCGAAAATGCCGAAACTCAGCGCTGTCGATCGGAACATCGCCATAGGACGTATCCAAAGAGGGGAATCGCAGTCTTCTGTTTTCACGCCACTTCAACGTCCACAACAGCACCGTTTGCCGCTTTTATGACCGATACACACACTTCAATTCCACTGCAGACCGTCCGAGAACCGGCCGACCAAGGCTTACCACCCTACCATATCCTTACCATATCCTACATCACGAGATCGCACTTGGTTGTGGTTCAGGGAGATTTGACAGCAAATCGCTACATGAATCAAATTCTTCAACCTCACCTTCTTCCAATCATTAACCGCTAGGCCAACGCTCCATCGCACACAGCTCCTGTCACGGTAGACTGACTTCATAATGCTAACATCAAGGCCTTGCCCTGGCCGTCGAGATCTTTAGATCTAAACCCAATCGATAACCTCTGGGATGAACTCGATCGACGTGTACGTCAACGTCAGAATACGCCACAGACATCCCCATAACTGACCAACGCGTTACAAGCAGAATGGCGCAGAATTCCCCACACTTCCGTACACTTATCCAGTCAGTGCCGAGGAGATGCAGAGCCGTGATTACTGCCCGGGGCGGTCACACAAGATACTGAGTTCAGCGCCACCTTGTGGCTGTATGTGACATGACAATGAACAGTTTTCAATGCCTTTGTACAACGACAACATGTGACTATCGAGCTCCAAAATTTCATATTTGTATCTATGATATTAAATTTAATATATCGACTTTATTAGGTACAATAAATTTACTAAAAATGTACCTGTGCGTTTCTTTTTTTATGGGCCAGTATGTGAAATGAGGAAGAAATCTTGCAAAAAACAATTCATCAGTTCTATGAACTGTTGGCATGTCTCTAAAACCTGAAGACATTGTTCATTCCTCTTTTGTAATGGATTGCTAGGTCCAGCAAATGCACCACCAAATGCCTGTCTCAAAGAGTAGCCATAATCATCAGTACAATCACGGAAGGACTTTGTCTATATTCACAGAAAGGTATTTACACAAGCAGAGTCTAAAAAAACTCAAAGGATTTGCCTAACCTTTAACAATCTTGTTGAATTTCTTACAAAACGTGGTGACCATAAATATAGTAAGGTTTCTGGTCTCTTTGTCAAAATCCCATCTGAAGATTACTGTGAAACAATATGTGCAATGCTGGACTTCCTCATTGATAACATCTATGTTAACGTTTGAGGTAAGACATTTAGGCAAGAAGGAGGTATTCCCATGGGCACAAATCGTGCCCTCCTTCTTACTGATCTGTTTCTTTATGCAGATAAATCAGAATTCTTCTCGGATTGGCAAAGTCAAAAAAGGTAATTTGGCCAAGACGTTTAACTTCAGCTTCAGGTCTATCGATGATCTGACAATAATCAATACCCCTCAAATAGTCAATTCCCTTCCACTGATTTACCCACCTGAACTAGAAATCAAGGAGACAAGAGAGACCGCTTTATCTGTTTCATATTTAGATCTCTGAACAAAGATTCAGAGTGACAATAGACTCTCCATAAGATTGTATGACATGAGGGATGACTTCAACGTTTCAATAGTAAACTTTCCCTTTATATCAGCAATATTCCTGCAGCTCCTTCCCTTGTTGTCTACAGTTCACACCTTTTGAGGCACAATCGAGTGTGCTCTTTGTACCAAGATTTGAAAGAGCGTCATACAACTCTTGCTCCGAAGTTGTTTGCTCAAGGTAACAACATTCAAGACCTCAGTAAAGAAAATTTAAGTAATGCTAATGATGGATCGAGTCATTTCGTGGCTGTTTGATTTTACACAGCCATCATATGGTTATGGAACATAATTGCAATTACTATGAATATTAATAATAAGGAGTACCTTGGTGTATAGATGTCACAACTTTTTTTAGGTAGAATCAAGCATCAAAGAGCGCCATACGACTCTTTCTCAGAAGTTTTATGGTTGACATGTGGAGGACATTTCCACATTTGACGCAGCATCAAACTTGACACATACACAGACACACACAGAGACACACACAGGCACACACAGACACACACACATACTTTCAAACCAATCATAGATTTATATACGTCAAAACCAATCATCGTGGACATGAGAAATTTAATTTAATGGTGAAGTAGCCTTCCTAATTATACCACAATCGTAAGTCGAACTTTTAAGAAATGGCTTTACAGTTGTTAAAGTTCTACGATCGCTTTTTTGAATGGTCCAGGTAAATGCCCACCAGTGATGTTCTGGTCAAGCAGCGTCGATTTTCGGTTGACAAACACGCGGGGGTGTTTAACTTCCAGCCTCTCAGAAGAACAATCACGTTTCCGGTCAAGTTTAATCGATTAAACGTCCAATGCCAATATCGCCTTCTTCCTGTAACCCCTGCAGTCATTCTATCCAATCTCTTTAAACTCATATTATAGTTCTCGCTACCGCTAAACAAAGATCTGAGGACATCCAATTGCGGGTCATGTCAGAACGGGGGCACGGGTGGCCCAGTCGTCTAAGGCGCCGCGATTCGCTGTGCAGAGTTGCGTCCCTTGGGCACGCCAGAAACTTATGATTGTGGGTTCGAATCCCGGTTCGCCCCAAATATGTTTCTAGGTTTGTCAGCACCATACCCGTGCTCGTGGGTTTCGTGGGACCTGCATCACT